TGGCTCACACACCTTCACAGTTAGGACTGAATCCAGCTACTGAAGCTCGGTTCTGCCGAAAGGGTGCCAAGTTCATCTTTGTAGGAACACGCTTGGGACTACACTATGATACCCTGGCTACTGGAGTAATTTATTTTCATCACTTGTATATGTTTCATTCCTTTAAACACTTCCCAAGACATGTGACAGGAGCGTGCTGTCTCTCTTTGGCAGGGAAAGTAGAAGAAACTCCTAAAAAATATAAAAGATATTATCAAAACAGCTCATAACTTATTAAATGGTGTACAGTTTGATCAGTTTGGCAGTGACCCAAAGGAAGAAGTTATAGTTCTGGAAAGGATCTTATTACAGACCATAAATTTGATTTGAAAGTGGAACATCCCTACCAGTTCCTCCTCAAATATGCCAAACAGCTCAAAGGTGATAAAAACAAAATTCAAAAATTGGTTCAAATGGCATGGACATTTGTAAATGACAGCTTGCATACTACATTATCACTACAGTGGGAATCTGAGATCATAGCAGTAGCAGTCATGTACTTGGCAGGCCGTTTATGCAAATTTGAAATACAGGAATGGACATCAAAACCGATGTACAGGAGATGATGCGAACAGTTTGTTCAAGATGTGCCTGTCGACGTACTAGAAGACATTTGCCACCAGATCCTAGGTCTCTGTTCACGAGAAAAACAGCAGATGCCTCATCATACTCCTCATCAATTGCAGCAACCACCATCTCTTTAGTCAACACCTCAAGTAACCTCAGTACAACAGTCACAGCCATCTCAAAATTCTGAACAGTCACAGCCCCAACAGAAAGAGTCCCAGCAGACAGTGCAGCAGCAGCAGCACAATAATCTAAGAAACCATCTCCTCAGCCTAGCCCTCCCAGGCAGGTTAAATGATCAGTGGTTGTTTCTTCCAAGGAACACAAGACAACAGAACCACCACCATCTAAAATCCCCAAAATTCAGACCACACACCCAATTCTACCTGTACCTACCTACACCTCCAGAACATAAGCCAACCCTCACAGCTGCAGTTTCAATGGGAGAGGACGAGCAGACTGGCACAGTGGAGGCTGGAGATCTACCAAAAGTCCAGATTCTTCCTCCAGGCATCCAGCCCCCCACCCCCGTACGTCAGCCACCTCCTCTTCCTCACTGCCCTCCCATCCCCCCCACCTTCCAGCCACATTACTGGAATGTCAACTACAAATTCCTATATGTCAGGAGAGGGTTATCAAAATCTGCAATCCATGGTGAAGACAGAAGGACATTTTTTTTCATTAAATAATCTAGTATCATCTAAAGTCAAAACTACGTTTTCCTTCAGTAATATTCTCCAGTGATACATGATGCTGTTGTCAGAGTTTCTTGGTTTAACTGGTATTATCAGTCCTTTAATTTTAAAATTGTTCTGGACAGGTTGGCCTTGCTGAATTTGGGGCTGTTTTTTTGTTTGTTTGTTTTTTGGTAGGGGGGAGACAAGGGAATGGAAATTGGACTTTGGAAAGTAATGTATGTATACATCTATTTACAAATTTCTGTGCATACAGAACGTACACCATACTGTGAATTTCATCTTGGTTACAAATGAGATTCCCTTGGTCAGTTACCTACCCAAATAAAATCAGTTCTGAAAATATTTTTTTAAAAAAAGAGTTTGGTAGCCAAGATAAGCAACAATTAATAAATATATGACTAATAGCCATTCCCCAATAGACAATCAAAGTATATGAACAGTTCTCAAAAGAACCTGCCAAATATTCACAATCCCACAAAAATATTCCAAATTACTAATAAGAGAAATACGAATCAAAACAACCCTGAAGTTTCACTTTGTACCCTTCGAACTGGCAAAGATGACAAAAAATAGCAACAGTCAATGTTGTTGAAAGATAGGCACACTAATACTTTGTTGGTGGAATTGTGACGTGGTATTACTACTTTGGAAAGCAATTTGAAATTATGCAAATAAAGTGGCTAAAATGTCTGTACCCTTAGAAACAAAGACTCCATTACTGGGCTTATACCCCCAGGAAGCTATCAATAAGAGTGGGGAAAAGTCCCCATATATTCCAAAGTATTTTTAGCAGGGCTCTTTCTAAAAAGTAATTTTTGAGTGATTTTTCTCTTATATCACTGTAGTATCCTATATATCTGTTCCTATTCCCAAGGGGCACCCCATATGACAAATGGGGGGTTGTGGTTTGGATTTTGTTTTTTGGAGAGGAAAAAAGCACAACTGATCAATATGTTGAGAAAGTTCAAAAATGTGTGCAACGAGTAACACCTGTGGACCTGCCACCTCCACAAATGGTTAGATGGGGAGTGTCTTCTCATATCTCTTCATTAGCGCTCCACTTGCTCTTTATCATTTTGTTATATTTACTTTTGATATTTTGGACTTTGTCTTGAATAACAATGGGGCATGAGCTACCCATCTGGAAAAACTTTTAAGCAGTACTGCCCTCAGTGGTCCTAGTGGTGCAGGAAGAGCCAGCTTTATTCCAACAGTGGACCAAATATTGAAATAAGAACGCACTGTAATTAGTGCATTCATTGTGTGGGTGCTTCCAAAGTTGTGTTCTCTTCAATTGGCTAAACCCCACCTCCTTAGCATGTGGTTTGCAATCTTCATTCACTCTGCAAACTCTTGGTAAGTGGTGCTGAGGTAAACTTTTTTGTTATTTTTCAGTTGTGTCTGACTCTTCACGACCCCATTTGGGATTTTCTTGGCAAAGATACTAGAGTGGTTTGCCATTTCCTTCTCCAGCTCATTTTACAGATGAGGAAACACAGGGTTAAATGACTTGCCCAGGGTCACATAGCTAGTAAATGTCTGAGGCCAATAAACTTTAACAAGCCCTTTTTCTGAATTATCACAAATTCCTAATTTGTTGGGTCACAATTAATAAGCCTCTATGAGTTTCAAGCTCCTGCCCCACCCAGACTTTCATCAGAACCATTCTTTTTCTCTTTTGTATCTACGTCATCTAAATTTCTCCCTGTATCCATCCCAGAGAGCCATTCCTTAACAAAGAATTTAAAAAAAAAAGGGAAGGGAAGAAGAAAAAATCAGCAAGGCCAATCAGTACATTTTTTTAAAAATCTGAAAGTATGTGCAGTAGCATCAGGAAGTCTAGGTTGGCTCTATTCCAGCTCTGACATTTTCTGAGTCAATGATTCTACAAAGTCAACCAGATTTAATCCACCCCAGATATTCAGGGTTCTTCCTCCTTACCCTTAAGACTTCACCTATGAGATCTCACACACACATACACACACACACACCCCATACACCCGAGACCCCCCCCCGACATCTCACACATACCACCAGCCAGTACTGTTACAAGGGAATTCTGTCCCAGACATGGGGCATTTGGGGGTTCACTTTACTCCCAGGAGGACTGATCCAGGACTCAGCTATTGACCCTTTGGGCAAGAGGAGTATAAAAGCATTTCTTCCAGGTTTTGATGGGGAGTTTATGAGACTCCAGGGAACCTGATTGCTGGTAGCTTTTTATTTGCTTTTATCTTTCTGAACTGGTTCTTAACTATGACTTCTACCTGAAGGAGGGTACTGGAATATGTTTTTAGTAAAAGGACTGTTTGTTTGAACTCTGCCTCTGAGTGAGTTGTACCAGATGCAGAATAGTGACTTAGGACTGCCAGAAGTAGTAAGCCTTTATCGTGCCCTTATTTCCTCACACAAGACATGGTGAAGAAGGGATGATTAGAGGTGAAGTGACTTGCCCAGGGTCACACAGCTAGTAGTCCAAGGCAGGATTTGAACTTGGGCCTCCCTGACTTCCTAGAGTCCATCACTCCATCCCTAATGCTACTTTACTCCATGTTTGTCTTACAGACCAGCCTGGCTAAGCTCTCAAGAGGTTGGTCACTGGGGTGGCAGTCAGGGGATGTATGTTCTAGCCACAATCTACTAAGGCATAGAGATGTTGGCACCTGTGTAGGTGGAGACATGACCCATACCATCCAAATTACAGCTCTTGAAGTAAATGGGTTTGGGGTATAAACTGTCCCCCTCTTTCTTGCCACCCAGCACCCATAGTGCATATTCCCAGCTTTCTATAGACAATATCACAAACGAGAGGAGTAAGAGCCATGCACATTGGGAAGGAGGGCCTCTTGCTTATTAATACCCAGCACTGGGAAGCCTCGGGATCATTGCTGTGAGGGGCCCTCTAAACCACTCTGCCTCATTCCCTTTTTAGGAGGGGAAGTGAATGTTGCTTATGCTGGGAGTGATTGACTTGGGACAGAACTCTCCTACCCATATGTGTGATCCAAGGCTCCTTCCACTAACCCCCACCACCCTACTCCCAGATCACTTAACGAGGCGCCTTTCTCAAATATCTTCTCCCCAAGCAGTGAGGCCTGGATTCTCTTGGCCTCCCCACTGTACTCAGGGCTCCCCCTCCCTTCCTCATACTCATCCCCTCCCTCTCTCCAGAAAATTACCCCCACCTTTATTTCTTACAGGTTCCTGTTCACAGCCTGGCGGCCATGCCTCCAAGTAGGTACCATTTTGTGGAGAAAGCTTACTAGAACAATCCATGCTGCCCTTCTCTTCACGCTCTGCTTTCCCTGCCTGTCTTCCTTCCTGTTCTCCAGAGACCTTGGGATTTGGGGTGTGAGGCATGGTGTGGTGGTTAAGGAGGTCCATGCTCCTATGCCCAAGTGGGCAGCATGCCCCCATCCCTTCCATGACCCTGCCATGCTGCGTGTTCAGGATTCACTCTGGGCAGCCAAGTGTGTGTGTTCATGTCTTTGCTTCTGTCTGCATCACCTGTCCTCTGGGGAGGAGATGGGGGCTGCCTTTTTTTAGCTAGGACCCTAAGAGAGAGGGGTCAAGGAGAGTGGGGGTGGGGGAGAGTGGTCATTCTCCAAGACCACAGAGGAGGTGGGGCCAAGAGTAAGGGCAGCCATCAGTCATCCTGCCTACCTGCCTAATCTCAATGTCTTCTCTCTCCTCCAGGAGAACATAACAGGCAGAGCCCCCAAGCTAAGGCAGAAGCTGCTCCCTCAGAAGGCTCCAAGTTCCGAGAAGAAGTCAGCCCAGTCTCAGCCAACTTGGAGCCCCGGGGCTTCAAGGCCAAAAAAAAGAAGAGGGGGACCCCTGGGCCATGCTCTGAGGAGTCTGGACAGCCAGGGGTCCCCCCTGAGATGGAGCCTGCACCAGATAATGTCTCAGCAGTCAAGCCCAGGGCAGAGGCAGAAGGCCAGGCACCGCCTGGGCTTCCTGGCTCTGTGTTCCGTGCCCGCTTCCATCGCCTGCTACAGGCCGCCTGGCAAGATGGCCTGCCATTGCCCACGGGCAGGCGAAGAGGCCTGGCACAGACCCAGCCCCCAGCCTACCCAGAGCTGGTAGGGTAGCAGTGCTGGGCACCAAGTTGAGGTGCCATGCTTGGGCAGGAGTCGAAGGTCTGAGAGGTCCCTCTCAAGGCTGAGTTGAAGGTTTTATGTTCTAAGACTATGCTTACTGCTGCTTAGCTGAGACGTGAGCCGTAGGTCCAGTGCCCCCTGGATATCCAGGAGGATGACCAGGAGGGCCAGCTCTGGCCCCAAGGATGACCCAGGGCCTGGCTACATGCCCTGCTGGCCTTCCCTTGGAAGGAAGGCTAAGCACCAGAGCCCCCAAGGATTCCCTGCCCTTTCCTCTCTGTTCCAGTCTGCACTTGCCTTTTTCCCACCCCCTTCCAATACTCCTCTCCAGAGCAAGGACTTGGCTGAGAACTGGAGACTCCGTTCTCCTTGCTGTCTATTCCTCAGGACTTGAACCTCAGGCTGGTCCTTTTTCTCCTCTCCCTTTCTTCTCCCCGCTTCTCGTCGGCTTGCTACCTCCTCTCACTAGCCCCAGGCCAAGTCTTTCCTGCAGGTAACCCATTCTTGCTCCTCCTCGACCCTGGGGGGAGACAAGAGACCCAGGTACAAACCCCTCTGCTGCTTCTGCCCCAGGCTTGCCCCAATGTCAGGTAGCACGTGGTGAGGGGGGCGCTTCCAGAGACCCTCCTAAAGCACAAAATTCCCCAGGGAAGTCATGACCTCTTTCCCCTCACCACCCCTTTCTTCTGGAAATCCTGCCCTGGAATATCTGGTCGATCTGGAGAAAAACACTGCCAGATATTTGGGCATAAAGGTTTGCCATGGTGACCTATCTGAGCAGATTCTGAGTCTGGCCGTGAAGTCATGGGTCTGCTTAGTGACCTGTTAAAGGCAGGGATGCACCAGAAACTAAGGCATACTCCAGCACTAAGGAGAGCTGATTACCTTTACCTTAGGTGGGCTTCTTGGCCCCTCACCAGACCCTGGACAGAGAACGAGGTCACCCAGGACAACCAATCAGCTTCCCCTCTCCTGGTCTCAATTTGGTGCCATTTCTTAGGCATTTATTATGCCAGGTACCATCCTAGGCACTGGGGAATACCAAAGCAACAGTAAACCACCTCTGTACTTAAAAGTTGTGGGGACATCCTGTGCCCATAGGGGTATCTTGTACTGGCCCCAGGTCTAAAGCTGTTTGCCACTAAACTTAGAAATGCAATCTCCTTTGAGCCCAGGAGAGGGGAGGAGCCAGCCTTACTCCCCATCGTTGTGTCCAAGACCCATTCCAGCCTCCAAGGAGAGGGCCCTGCTAGAGCTCTGTCCATCCATGATGGCTGGACATGCCCCAGACAGCTGCCTCAACCCCCTTTAGCACCTGGCCACAGGAGGAGCACAGAGGGATGGGCTGGGCACAGAGCCCTCACCATCCCTCCCTCTCTGGAAGTTGGCCCAGCACACAGTTGAATCAGCACACATTTTAAGGAGACAGAAAAACAACCCCCACCTCATCGACCCCACAGGCGGCCTGGCCTGGCTCCCTGCCCCAGAGAAGTGATGCTTCCCCTCCCCGCAGCCCATGGCCACAGATAGGGCCTCTTTCCTTGTGTGTGTACAATTTGTACAGTTCTTGGCCCAAGTCAGTCCCTTCACTATTTAATGTTTTGTAAGGAGGCGGCCAGCCCCGGTGGCAATACGCCAATAAAAGTTGTTGGGTTGTTTTGGAAGTGGTCGTCCTGATTTGGGAAGGGGGAGGGGGCTTGTGGTCTGAGTGGGGAGAGTCAGGAGATGGTTCAAGCCAGGCATTCAGGCTCTTAGCTGTTCCATAGCTTGGGCAGGGTGGGAAGTAGTGGGAGGGGGCAGGTGTAGAAACCAAAAAGAAAACCCCCAAATTAGACAAAGCCTTACAGGTAATAATAATCTCTTGACCAATGTAGGGGGTCCTTCCTCAAAAGGTGGTCCCGTAGCCTTTGCTTAAATACTTCCAGTGAAGGGGAGCTCACCATCTAACAAGGAATCATTTACATTGTTTTATGGCTCTGCTTTCAAGAAAATGTTTTGTTTTTCTGCTTAGATGAAATGTAATTCCCTGGAGCTTGCCCACCATCCTGGTCAACCTCCACTGAATACATTTTACCCCAGCAGGCATTCTTCCTGGGATAGTCATTTTGGAAGCTTAGTAGTCAGGAAGCCCCCAGTTTGAATGGGGCCTCAGACATTTACTAGCTGTGTGACACTGGGCAAGTCACTTAACCTCTGAGATCCTTATTTCCTCTATAAAATGAGGATGGTGACACCTACATTATCTCCCTCCTCACACTTTGTTGTGAGGCTCAGATAAAGAACTGTGTGCTCCTAAAGCGCTTGGTATCCCTTCAAATCACCACAGAAATGTGAGCCATCTCAGTGCTGGAGTCTAGAACTGAGTACCTACTAGGTGCCAAGCCCTGTATTGGGTGCTGAGGATATAAGGAGAAAAAATGAGATAAATACCATGTCAACCTCCCCACTCAGGTGATAATGGTGCTTGAGGACCACTGAAACTAGATTTTTTCTATATGGACTATTTTCTAGCCATGCCCCCATCCTATAAAAGAAGATATACCGAGAGTTCCCAGAGTGCCTACCTTTGACCTAGTCTTATGGACTTATTTAAGGTACGGAGAAGTGACTTGTCCAGGAAACAAGGTTTGGACCCAGGTTTTCCTGATTCCAAGACCAATTTTCTGTGCTCTACCTTACACCATTTATTCATCATTCCAGCCTGACAGGTCAAGTTATTTTGGGATTCTAATTCTATCATCCAAAATGGCGTCATCTACAAATTTGATAAGCATGGCATTCCTGCCTTTGAGTCATAATGATGTTGAGAGGAGGTAGGACCAAGGACAGAGCCTTCAAGCCACTAGTGGAGGAGAGAGTAAAGCTGATGACTGCACATCCCTGCCTCACTTAAATCCAATTCACACACAAGTCAAGACATCACCCTGAGATGCCATCGGTCCTCTTCAAAAACAGAAGAATAGCACCAACAAAAGAATTTCCTCCTCAGGCTTGTACCCATTATACTGCCAATAGACGTTCATTGATCCAGCCATTTCCAAGTCCACCTGTTTCATTATCCAGCCCTTGCTGAGGGGTGATATCAAATGCCTTCCTGAAACCCAAATATGCAGCAAATTTATAGCATTTCTTACTCTACTGCTGTGGTAACACTGTCCAAAGGTGGGGGGAAAAAAGTTTCCCCTGGGAAGGAAGTTCACAATTGAGTCACTTTATCATTAGTCTGCAGGTATGATTGCGACCCATCCACACATATGCTTATGAGTGCATGTCCTGTCCCCCCCCAGTCCATCCTACATGCTAGATTTCTTCTCTGGGACTCAGTTTCCAAACACATGAAACGAGGGGATTAGACCAGAAGGCGCCTGAGGTCTGTTTCGACTCCAGAACCCTGACCCTATTACATCACCAGGGTATCCACAGCAGTTACCCTGCCCACTTCCTTTTCCCAGACAACATTTAACAAGCTTGGGATCATAGCTCTAGAGCTCTAATGATGATGATGATGATGATGATGTCTAGAGTGGCTACTATGTGCCAGGCCCAGCGTCAAGCACTTTACAACCATCTGATCCTCATAACGACTCCAATTTTACAGCTGAGGAAACAGACAGGTTAAGTGACTTGTCTAAGGTCACACAACTAGGTCTGAGGTGGCATTTGACCCCAGGCCTTCCTGATTCCAGTCCCAGTGCTCCTATCTGCTGCACCACCAACTTCCTGCAGAGACCCTCTTGTCCAGTAGTGTCAAACTCAAAAACAGGGGTCATTAAACCAATGCCTGTGGCTACATATTGACTTAGACAACCACATATTAACACCTACGTTTTATTTTATTTAGTTAAACGTTTCCCAGTTACATTTTAACCTGATTCTGCCCTTGGGTGTTCAATATGCCTGCTCAAGCCAAATGCCCTCATTTTACAGAAGGAATAACTGAGTTTGCCCAAGGCCACCCAGTCACTAAGTACCAGAGGTAGGATTTGAACCCAGGCCTCTGACTCAGCTGTGGCGGCCCTCGGCTTCCTGCTCTCCGATGGCAGGATTTACGTGCTTTCTGTACAGTCCTGACTTCAGGGCCGATGCTCTATCCACTGAGCCACCTAGATGCCCCTCTTAGAGCATGGCCTGGGTCACTCGAGTTAAGCGGTTTGCCCAGGTTCACAGAATGGTTGTGAGGCGATGCAGAAAATGCTAACTCCAAAGTCAGAAGACTTGGGTTCAAATCCTAGCTTTGTTTCTTATTCTTTGTGTGACCCTGGCCAAGTCACTTCTCCCTAGGACTCAGCTTCCTCCTCTATAAAATGGTTCAGCTAGATGGACTTTAAGGTCTTTTTCAGCTATAGATCTGGGGTCCTGTGGCTCAGAGGCAGTGAGTCTTTGAGCATAGGTCTTCCTGAGTCCAAAGCCAGTGTTTTGTTTATTTGTTTTTGAAGAGTGGGTCTCCCTACCTCACCTAGGCTGGAAATGCAGCAGCCACTCACAGCCTGACCTTAATATTGATTAGTAGGGAAGTCTTAGCCTGTTTATCTTTCCAGCCTGGACCAGTTTGCCCCTCCTTAGGCAGCCTGGTGACCCCCAGCTCTTAGGAACTCACCATATCAGTGTTACAGAAACCCAGCTGATGTTAGTCTTACTACAGATAAAATCTCCAAGCTCAAGGAAGCCTCCAGCTTCTGCCCTCCCAGGAGCAGGGACTACCGTGGCACTATTCCACGTAGAAGAATATTGTTTAAAAAAAAAAAAGGCAGGCCTTGTTCCATGGAGAATTTGGGGCATATCATCCATGCAGTGTCTCAAAGGCCACCTACCTCTGGTTTGAGAGATTGAAATGAGGAGACTGATTGGGTCAGGGCCAGAGATTCACATTGAGGAGGAACAGTCTTAAACACAGACACCCATCATCTCTAAGATTCCTTCTGGCTTTAAAATCTATAATCAATCCCATGATTCTCCCAGGAGAAAACTCACCTGAGCAGAGCACAAACCCCTAGACTTTGAAGCCTGAAGAAGAGAAAAAGTCAGTCCTTGGAAAGCCCCAATTGGAGTGGGAGATCTTAGAGCCTTCACATGCTTCAGCAAACTTTTTCCCACCCCCTACTTTATCTTTCCATTGGCCCTATTAATGGCGGGGTGCAAGTAATTTCCATTCTTGTGGGGTACAAAGAGTGAGAAATGTGGGAATGAAGGGGCAGGGGGTCGTTTTGGAGCCTTGCAGGCTGCTGCCTATCCATCTGTTTTCCCAGGCCTTTAAGTTCCAAATAGGACATCTCTCTCCTTACCTTTTGGGAACAGGGCTGGAAGCTGAGATCATGGCCAAAGAAAGCAGGGATTCTACCATCCCTCAAGAGAAGTCCAGCAGGAGACTTCCTTATGCCCCAGATCTGAGGACTTACCCTCTATCTCTTCAGTGAGAGAGATCTCACACAGTCAGGCCTGAATCATTATGGGATGACGAATACTTGGCACTAGCCTGGTCCCAATTAAGTTAATGAGGTAAAGACTCAGGTGAGGCCCTTCAAGGCAGGACCCTAATAGGCAAGGTATAAAAGAGCTGAGGAGGGCCTTGTATTCAGTTGATCCTGTGTGGGAGGGGAATGAGAAGCTGAGTGACTGGTGCTGAGGTGAGTAAGGCTGGGTGGGGAAGGGGTAAAAAGGAGACCCTTCTTCTCTAACGACAAGGAGCCCATCCTAGATCCTGAGGGACATTGAGTCTCTTGGGGCAGAATTAGTCTACAGCAGATGTTAAGGGGGCAAACTGTGATTGGTGTTTTCTGGTTACTTCCTATGCCCCTTCGTTGGGCCCTTCTTTCCCTACCTGTCCCCCCATTTCCACTCTAGTTCTCCTTCCTTTCTCTGACTACCTGGCCCCACCTTCATCAAAATTCCTTCAGTTTTTCCCAGTTCCAGGTACCTCTCAAAGACCTTTGTCCTTGCTAAAATCACCCTCCCTAAGGATATGAAGAAACAAGTTGGGGCTTTCTCTAGGAATATTAGCCCTATCGTATGGGCACCATAAGATGCTGACTATCACACCTAGAATAGACTAGATCTGGCCCCCACCAGCCTTCCTCTTACAGATCAGGAGCTTTTAATGTAGTGTCCTACCCAGAGTCAGACGGAATGAGTGATAGAAATGAGACTAAAATTAGTCTTTCCAGTCCATCACACAGACCAGCTAAACCAGTTAATGAGTAGCCCTCAGATGATGGAAGAATCTCAGCATCTAAGAGGTTATGAGTAGGGTTCTTTCCAATGTCCTTCTTGGATCTGTGGAGGCAGCTGCTTTCTCCCAGGGTCTTTGCTGCTAAGGGTCAGAGTTCTTATTGCCTGGGTTGAGAAAACTGAGGTAGACGGAGGTCAGGCGACTTGCCCAGCTAGTAAATAAATGTCTAAGGCTGGATTTGAACTTGGGTCTTTCTGACTCCAAGCCCAGAACTGTATCCACTGTGCCACCTAGATGACATGAAGAAACTGAAGTTGACAGGGTGGGGGTGAGGTCGAGTTGGGGAGGGCTCCTCAGCTCAGGGACCTCCCAAGTAAATTGGTAGCAGATCTGGGGAGGGCAGCATGATGCAGTGGATAGAGTGCTTGGAATCAGGAAAACCTGGGTTCAAATCCCACCTCTCATATTTACTAGTAAAAGTCCCATTTTCCATTTCTCTACCCATCAAATGGAGACAACTGGACCTACCTCACACAGTTGTTATGAGGCTTGAATGAGAATGTCTACTGCATACTTTGAAAAACTCTGAAGAGCTATATAAATGTTGGCTGTTGGCCATTTTTATGATCTATAAGTAATAGGTCTTGACTCCTCAGTCAAGGATCGCTACCTTGAGCAGGTTTTTACCGAGCACTTTCCCTAAGCTGTGTGTGTGTGTGTGTGTGTGTGTGTGTGTGTGTGTGTGTGTGTGTGTGTGTGTTGGATATAAACAAGAGCAGTCCCTCCCCAAAAGAAGCTCATGTAGAAGGGAATTTCACTTGTCACCAATAACCCTTGGTACTTTAAATACCAGATGAAGAGCACAAAGAGGATCCAAGGACACCATCACTGTGGGTTGGAGTGATCAAAGAAAGATTTCGTGAAGTTGGGGTTGGAGCTAAGCTAGAGAGTGGGTTGGATTAAGGGGGAAGGGAGGAAGGCATCTCGGGGGAAATGATGGGACTGGACTGCTGGGGAAGATCTAAGAGATAGGACTGGAAGGCAGGCTGAGGAGAGCTTCTGGCAGGGCGTGGACTGAAACACTCCCTCCCCAAAGAGTATTTTAAGGTTTGGAGGTTGCTTGACACACATGATCTCATTTGATTCTCATAGTCCTCGGGTGGCAACGGGAGTCTTGTCCCTATTTCTACAGACTGAGGGTGAGTGGTCTGCTCTGGGGTCACAAAGCTAAGTGTCAAAGGTGGGCTTCAAACCCAGCGATCGCTCTACCCTGTTATCGATAGCTGAAGTTTCCAACCAGTGGAAAAAGCACTGGTCTTAGAAGACCTGGGTTTAAATCCTGACTCTGGGCAAATTGCTTCACTCCTCAGCCTCTGTTTTCTCATCTGTAGAATAGGAATGACACATGTACCTCAGATTTCACAGCTCAGTTTCCCCATCTGTAGAATGGGGATGACACACATACCTTAAATTTTTTAGCCTCAGTTTTTTTCCCCCTACTCTATAGAATTGGGGATGATACACATACCTTTGATTTTCAAGGAAAATATGTTGGACATCTAGAGCTAAACAGGGCCTTAGAGGCCATCTACTTATTCCTCCTCACCCCAATCCCAGGGAAACCCCAGGTTACACTGGTCAGGAACTGAGATCCTCTGACTCCAAATTCAGTGTTGTCCATTACACTAGTCCCCCTCTAGTCTTAAAGCACAACAGAAAAGTCAACTTTTTTCTCCTCAGAAAATGACCATTTCCTATCAAAGTAAGCACACTCTTCACGTCTACTGCGGGAATGCTATCTTTTGGCATAGTTAGCCCATGGGTTAGAGATTATAGAGAGCCTTGAATGCCAGGCTAAAGGAACTTGCCAATGTTAAGTCCACTGAGAAACCATACTGGGTTCTGGGGGAGGGACTGTGACTATTGCTGTTCCTCCTTCCCAGGATAGTTTCTTCCAAATAAGTTTTTGTTGGTATCTTTTTAAATATCGTCATCATTTTCCTCAGTATCCCTCCTCCTCCTAGAGAGTTACCCCATATAACAAATTGTATTTTTAAAGAACACAGTTTTTTTTAAATAGACATAACTGATAAATACATCCCCCCCCAAAAAAAAACCAAACCTCTGATAATGTGTAGTCTCATTCCTTCCATTCTCCCCCCCCACCCCAGTAACTCAATGGTCTACTTCCCTGCCCCTCCCCCCTCCAGTGATGGGGAAGGGAAGAAGGAAAGAATGACACTTCATAAGTAGTAACTTTTAGAGGTTCAGTAATGACAAAAGCGGGCAAAGCCCTGAGGAGATGGAGCACTGGGTGTAGAGAAGAGTATTTGTGCATGGCCTCGGGAGCATGGATTCCCCTACCCTCTTCAAGCGGCCAGAGGAGAAGCCCCTTTCTAGAGACAAGAAAGGGGGTTCCCTAGAGCTTTCCCTCCAAGGGATGCATCCCCCAGCCCTTCCCAAAGGGGTCTCGGGCCCAATGCTACCCTTATCCTCCTCTGCCCCACCCCCCAGAGCCCACTCAATTGTCCTTAGCCTCTTACCAGTCCCAATTTGAGGAGTGGGCCACCCTCTGTTTCTCACCCTGACTCTTGGAGCTACAGATGGCAAAAGAGGAAATAAGACGAGTACCATTTGAGCCTTTCTGGTCACTTGCTAGATGACCTTGAGCTCTCTCCAGAGGCCTTCGTTTCTGCCTCCAAAAATGGAATGGGTTGGACCAGCTGCTTTGAGGTTCTTTTCAGTGTTGGCTTCCGGTGTCTGAAGCTCTCACTTTTTCTCTGCCTTACAGGGTTCTGATGGTAACATTTTTCTTCTCTGGGTACTCCACCCCCATGGCGAAGCTGCCCAGATATGAGAGGGGGAGCCCTGGCCACCAAGGGGCAGGCCCACCAATATGGCCTTCTACCTCTCCTGAGCAAACTCCCAGTATTCCATACTCAAGAAAGAACATGGGCAACCTACTGGCATGTCCCCCAGTGATGTCTGCTGGGACTGGCCCAGAACCGAGGGGTCAGTGGCCTGGACTAGGAGTCATAGTGGTCTGTTCCCTCTGGGCGTCTGCCTCACTGGCCCTGGCCAGCACTTCTTCAGAGCAGCAGAGGCTTCTCTCAGCCACCGCAGCTCGGACACCTGCTGGACTTCCCCCAGGAGACTTTTTCAGTTCCACCCCAATGCAAAGTGACACGGACCAATCCCAGGAGCCTTGGGTACTAGCTGGTGGGGTCATCCCTCTGCATCCTGAGGTCCCAACAGATACTGAAGGAAAGAGGTCAGCCCCTGGGACACCTTCCTTCTCCCATGTGGTCCCTGAAGGTTCAGATGACAAAGGGGCTTCCTGGTGGGCAGGAGACTGGCAAAGCCAGACCCCATTCCCCTTACTCTTCTCAGGGGGCATTTCTTTAAGTTTCAAGTCAAGGCTGTTCCCTCAGATCAGGCCTTTGTATGCCAATGTAGCCCTAAATCTCAAGACCCAGGCTATGGGTCCCCAAAAAGACCATGCCAAGAAATTCCTTGCCCAAGTCAGTCAACTAGATGATGATGACTCCCTACTCACTAGCCTGCCCCCCTCCTTTCAGGCTCCAGGCATTGACTCTTTGGGGGTAACAAGATCAGCAGAATCAATGGTACCTATAGGTGGTGACAAAATTGACCTCAGACATCACAGTCTATCCACAGAGTCTGCTCCACCAGCATCTGCCTCTGAAGTTCAGCTGAGAAGGAAATCCAACTCTAGGGTCTTGCCCCCTTCCAAATATGAGGTCAATTTTGCCCTTTCCTCTTCTAAGGAAGCCTTGGTATCCATGGGAACACATCCAGGCCCTGGCCCCTCAGAGGCATCCAGGTCTCTGAGCCTTCCAAAAGAGGCCAAAAGGGCATTTAATGCCACTTCTTTCCCAAGCTTGGGGGTGTCATGGAGTACAGAGACAGAGTCCCATGTTCCCAAGCATCTGAGATCCTTTTTTTTCTCACACTCAGAAAACCTCAGAGAACAGGCTACTTCCCCAACTGCCATCCCAGCTACTAGCCCTTGGCCCATCAGGTCTGGACTTCATTCCAGAGGGACTAAGAAAGTAACCTCTACTTCTAAAGATTCTTCTCCAACCAATGCCCCGGCTTACATCTGGACCGCTGCCATCCCCCCACCAACCAGGCCCCTGGAATCCTCTCCCTGTGTGACTGGGCCTGGTCAGGAGTTCTTGGCAACTACCAAAGAACATGAAGAGTATTCCCAAGCAACTGAACTCGGGAAATCAACAGGTTCTCCTAGTGACGCCATCCTTCAGCATGGCCTGTCCACAGGGAGGTCCAGGCTGTTGTCTGGCACAGCAGCCAGTCCTGGGGTCTTTGAGCCAGCAGCTACCACTGGCATGGATGTTGCCCCAGACTCGGGGTTTCTGTTGTCTCTTCCACCAAGAGCCCTTGGAGGGGTTAAGTCTAAGCAAGACCCCTCTCCTGTCCCTACACCAAAGGGCTCGAGCCTCTTAGCCCTAGGAGACAAGGTAAGTCAACCTGACACTCTTAGCTCCCTCTTCCCATGTGTTCCTAGGACTGAATTAACTTCCATAAGGCTATGCTACAGCCTAGAGTCAGGATGCCAGCTTGCCTTGTACCTGGGCTATGTAGTAGAGATTCAGTAGAACACCCAGACCGAGTGACCAAAGCCCCTCAGCAGAGGCATGGCCATCCAAACTATCCCGAGCTCAGAAGGACCATTCTCAGAGCCCTTGGTAACTACATCTTCCAACCCTCAGGACGGTTTTTTTGTTTTTGTTTTTGTTTTTTTTGCTTTTCAGTGAGGCAGTTGGGGTTAAGTGACTTGCCCAGGGTCACACAGCTAGTAAGTGTCAAAGGCCGGATTTGAACCTAGGTCCTCCTGACTACAAGACTCTATCCACTGTACCACCTAGCTACCCCCTCCTCAGGACATTTCTGTTTCCTTTCTGCAGGAGAAAGACTCCTCAACATTCCCACCTGAGCCCCTTGGGGCCACCTCAGAGCCTCCTCAACCAGCACCAACCTTGGCTAGTGAAATGCCTGGTACTCCAGATGCCCAGAGGCCTTCCATGGCACTGTTTCTAACAAGCATGAGCCTGTATGGACCCACAATGCAGATGATTCCTGGAGGTGCTAAAACTCTTCAGCCTGGTCCCAGCCTTGACCCCCCAGGTGGGTCTGCTTCCAGCCAGCCCTCGCTTCATGTTTTCACAGATGCCTCGTTCCCCAGCGGCATGGCACAGGACTCTGGCTGGACAGCAGAGCCAAAGATCTTTATGGCCGGTCCATCTCTTGCCCCCTTCACAGAGACCCCTCTACGGGCTGTTCCACAGACCAGCCAGGGTGCAACTGCAGAAGCTTCCAGAACCACTTTAAATCAGGTCTCCAGCCAGGCCAGCTCTGTAGCATCTGCCCTCCAGCACCAAGGCAGCCCAGTGGCTACAACCAAGCTGTCCTATCACTCTGAGAATTCAGCCTCGGCCGGAAGGAGTGAACTGAACCCTCTGGGGACCAGGGTGGCTGGGGAAGGAACAGCGCTTTGGACGACACAGCTGTCCCCAGCCCGTGCTCCGAGCCCCAGGTCTCAGGCTGCGGGAGGCACAACAAAGCCACCGCCTTTCCTTTCCTCCCTCCAGAGTCCTGCCCAGCTTAAGACAAGGGCCACACAGGCTTCCATCACACCAGAGCCCTGGGCTTCCTCTCGGTCTGTGATCCCAGGGTCCTCCGAGATGCCAGAGGAACAGCTGGAGAATGTCTCTGAAGTAGGAGCAGGGTCAGCAAGCCTGAATCAAGTGGGCCCCACAGACTTAGCAGCATTCTTGCTTGAGTCTCTGACCAAGGGCCCTACCCTGGCCCCACCAACCACATGGGCCAATACTGTGCCATCTGAACAAGAGAAGTCCCAGACCTCTCCTACTAAAGGGCAAGAGAAAGTGCCCTGGCGCCCCAGCGCAGTGTCCCACCCTGTTCTGGGGACTCCAGCTCAGGTTATTGGGTGGCTAGGCAGCAGCCCTTCCCCATCTAGCCTGATGACAGAGCCCCTAAAAGGGCTCACCTCTCCCATGGCAGTGCATTCTCACCCAGGACCTACCAGGGGAGGCTCAGGGTCTGAGATGATCCTCCCAATCAGCCCACAGTCCACGTCTGGAAGGGAAGGCCTGAATAATTTCCCTACATCTGGAATAGGCAGTGCTGGAACGGTACTGATGACATCCACACAGATATCACAGAAGGTCCCCACCTGGAAAGGAAGGAATCCACAGAAAGGATCTGGGTTTCTAGTTCTCACAATCCCTCTGCAGTTCGGTCTGAGTCAGATTTCCTATACCCCAGCCCTGGCAAATAAGCACTCAACCCACTTCAGGAGACTCAAGTGGGAAGTCACATTAACTGTAAGTAGAATGTCTCTACCCAATGTCGCTGGCCAGAGTCCTTTCCCCTTCCAGTCCATCTGTCCATTGTCAGGAAGCTGAGTCTGTTCCTCCCTATTTCCCCCTGCTTATTGTAAGAAGAAATGTAGGTTCCCCAAGAGACGGCTGAAGTTTTGTGTGAATCTTTATTTCCTTATCGATCAAGTGAGGATAATTTATGTCTCACTCTCCAATCTGGCATTCAATCACTTAAAGTATGAGTGAATAGAAGGAAAAGGCACTTATTAAACCCTTATGTGTGTCGACCTTTGGGCTAAGCTCTAGGGAAACAGAAATAGACAACTGAGATCATGCCCCACCTCAAGGAACTCTCATTCTGATTAGTGGAGAACACATATCCAGAAGGGAGCCTAAGCAGGGAACATTGAAAGGCTCAAAGCAGCAGAGCAGAAGGTCATCATCTTTTATACAATATTTGGTAGCCTGACTTTTCTAAGGAGCATTTCCTCTCTAATTCCTCACTTTCATAGCACTTTATAATTTTGAATAATTTCATGGCACCCAGGGCTATAAAGAAGTGAGCCATCATTGGACAGATGAAACTAAGGACCAGAGATAAAATTACTTGCCCAGGGCCCTACAAAGTTAGAAGCACAAAACAAATTTAATTGATACTATTGATGATCAATATTAAGGTTTTAATAAAATAGCACTAAAAAAAAATTGGTTGCGGAGCGAGGATTCTCAGGGGAACCAGGTCAGGAGTCTCTCTATATAGTGCCCTATAGGCTGCACTCTCCTTAATGAACCAGTAACCATTACAACTGTGGTCACTCCATTGAGTTCCAATCCTGCCTCTCTGGACTGAACTTCACCTAGGCCAGGGGTTGGGTCATGGTCAAGCTTAGCCCTACCCGCCCAATGCCCTTGGGGTTCCCAGACAGTCTGTGACTTGTGTTCTGTCCTCTTCCTGACTCTAGTTTAGGAGGATACTGTCCCACATGAATGGATTCCAGGAATTCCACATCCTCCACTTCTTGTAAGTATCTCTGAAGTTTTTCTTCCCCCAGCCTTGGGGAAGGAGCTGCTATGAATGCCCAACGATTCTTAAAACCTCCCCTCAGAATAAAAGCTCGGTATTTGTAGGCCTCTTAAATGACTCCCTTGCCCCACAAATGGTGTCAAGTTCTATTCTAGGTGCTTGGGTGCCTACTATATGAACTCACCTCTGAAGCAAGTGAGGCAGTCAATCACTTCCTCCTCTTCCTGAATATTGTTTTTTTTGTCGAGGTTTTCATGACACTGCCTTCTCCGGGTTATGTCAGTTCAGCCCCTCTTTCTCAAACTCCTTTGCTGGTTCTTTGTCAAGGTCATGCCCAATAACCCAAAGTGTCCTCCAAGGCTCTGGCCTCTCTTGCTCTTCTATACTGTCTCACATGGTGATCTCTTCACTTCCCATGGTTTCAATTGTCATATCTGTGCAGATGATTTTTCAAATTTCTCCTGAGTCTCACATCCCCAAATGCCTTTTGGATATCTCAAACTGGATGGTCTTGTAGACTTTCAAGTTTAACACGTCCAAAGCAGAACTCATTATCTCCACTTGCCCCACCCACCCTTCCCTGTTCCCAACTTTGCTATGACTGTCAAAGGTACTACCATCCCCCCATACTCACATTCTAGATGTCCTGCTCAGCAACTGGATCCACATCTTCAACCTGCTACATATGCAACATCTTTCCTGTAATTTCTCTTCCCTCCACTCACGTGACCACCCTGGTTCAGGACCTCCCCTTTTTTTCCCTAGACTATTAAACCGGTTTTCCCATTGGTCTTCCTGTCTCAAATGTCTTCCTATTCCAATCCATCTTATTCATCTACTAGAGGGATTTCCCTAAAGCCCAGATCAGACCATGTTACATGGCCCTTCCCTTGCTCAGAAAATACCAGTGACTCCTGCTTTCTCTGGCATCAAATACAGGGTATCTTCAAAGTCTCCATTTTGTCTACAATCCAGCCACAATGGCCTCCTAGTGACTCTCCACCTTTTATCTGAAGGCCCCCATGCCTAGAATGCTCTCCTTCTTCACTCCTGCCTCCTGGCTTCTTTTTTTTTTTAATATATAAATTTATTTATTTTTAGTTTTCAACATTTACTTCCACAAGATTTTGAATTCCATATTTTCACCCCATCTTGCTGCTCCCCCACCCCAAGATGGCATGCATTCTGAATGCCCCTTCCCCTAGTCTGCCCTCCCTTCTATCTCTCCCCCCCTCCTTCTCTTATCCCCTTCTATTTTCTTGTAGGGCAGGATAGATTTCTGTACCTCATTTCCTGTATTTAATATTTCCCAGTTGCATGTGAAACATTTTTTTAAACATGTGTTTTTAAAACTTTGGTTCCAAATTTTCTCCCTTCCTCCCCCCCACCCACCCTCATTGAAAAGGCAAGCAACTCAATATAGGCATACATGTGCAGTTATGCAAAACACTTCCATAGTAGACATGTTGTGAAAAACTAACTATTTCCCTTAATCCTATCCTGCCCCCCATTTATTCTATTCTTTCTTTTGACCCTGTCCCTCCTCAGAAGTATTTCCTTCTGATTACCCCTTTCCCAATCTGCCCTCTCTCTATCACCCCCTGCTCTCTTGTCCCCTTCCTCCCCTATTTTCCTGTAGGGTAAGACAGATTTCCATACCCAATTGAATGTGTATGTTATTCCCTCCTTAAGCCAAATCCTATGAGAATAAGATTCCTCATTCCTCTCACCTTCCCCTGTTTCCCCTCCACTGTAAGAACTTTTTTTCTGTTTTTTGTGAGATAATTACCCCATTCTACCTCTCCCTTTCTCTTCTCCTAGTATAATCCTCTCTCATCCCTTAATTTTATTCTCCAGATATGACCCCTTCATCTTCAACTCACCCTGTGCCCTATCTATCTATCTATACATACATATAATTTTTCCTCCACTACCCTAATACTGACAAAGGTCTCATGAGTTATAAATATCATCTTTCCATGCAGGAATGTAAACAGTTCAGCCTTAATAAGTCTCTTATGATTTCTCTTTCCTGTTTACCTCTTCATGTTCCACTTGAGTCTGTATTTGAAAGTCAAATTTTCTATTCAGCTCTGGTCTTTTCATCAAGAATGCTTGAAAGTCCTCTATTTCACTGAATGACCATTTTTTCCCCTGAAGGATTATACTCAGTTTTGCTGGGTAGGTGATTCTTGGTTGTAATCCTATCTCCTTTGCCTCTCTGGAATATTATATTCCATGCCCTGCGGTCCTTAATGTAGAAGCTGCTAAATCTTGTGTTATCCTGATTGTGTTTCCACAGTACTTGAATTGTTTCCTTCTGGCAGCTTGTAATATTTTCTCCTTGACCTGGGAACTCTGGAATTTGGCTAATATTCCTAGGAGTTTTCCTTTGGGGATCTCTTTCAGGAGGAGATCTGTGGATTCTTTCAATTTCTATTTTGCCCTCTGGTTCTAATATATCAGGGCAGTTTTCCTTGATAATTTCTTGAAAGATGATGTCTAGGCTCTTTTTTTGATCATGGCTTTCAGATAGTCCAATAATTTTTAAATTCTCTCTCCTGGATCTATTTTCCAGGTCAGTTGTTTTTCCAATGAGATATTTCACATTGTTTTCTAATTTTTCATTCTTTTGGATTTGTTCTACTGTGTCTTGATTTCTCATAAAGTCACTATCTTCCAATTGCTCTATTCTAATTTTTAAGGAAGTATTTTCTTCAGTAATCTTTTGGACTTCCTTTTCCATTTGGCCAATTTTCTTTTTAGGGCATTCTTCTCCTCATTGGCTTTTTGGGCCTCTTTTGCCATTTGGGTTAGGCTATTTTTTAAGGTGTTATTTTCTTCAGTATTTTTTTGGGTCTCCTTTAGCAAGCTGTTGACTTGTTTTTCATGATTTTCTTGCATCACTTCATTTCTCTTCCCAGTTTTTCCTCTACTTCTCTTACTTGCTTCTCAAAATCCCTTTTGAGCTCTTCCAAGGCCTGGGACTGATTCATATTTTTCTTGGAGGCTTTGGATGTGGAGCTTTGACTTTGTTGTCTTCTTCTGGTTGTATGTTTTGATCTTCTTTGTCACCAAAGTAAGATAATATAGTCTGACTCTTTTTGCAGGTTTGCTCATGATCCCAGCCAATTACTTGAGTTTTAAACTCTTTGTTAAGGTAAAGTCTGCTTCCAATGTGGAGAATGTACTGTCCCAAGCTTCGGGGTTTGTATAGCTGTTTTCAGAGATACTTCTAGGGACCTGTAAATTTTCAGTTCTTCCAAGGTGGTATAATAAGGGTCGAGGTATTTACTCTTTTCCTGGCCTGTGCTCTGGTCTTTGAGTGACTGGCCACAAGTCTTTTCTCTCTTGAAACTGTGAGGAGGGTTTCCTCTTCACCACCACTACAAGCTCCACCGCCAGCATTCCTCCTCACCCCAGGACCACCAGAACTGTGACCGAGATCCAAGCACGGGCAAAGCAAGAGATTTCCTGCCTCAGCACTGGCAAAGAGATCCCTGCAATCCCTCTCTGATCAGCCACTGGATTCCCCTGCGGTCAGTGGGCCCGGAAGCTTAGGACACAGCCACCACCCCAGCACCCACCCTCTGCGTTCTGCACTCTGGAACTGGCTCTGACCTAGCCCTTCTCTCACCGCAAAAACAGACTTTTCCCACTGACCTCTTAAGTTGTCTTTGGCATTGGTGGATTGAGGAGTCTGGAAACCGCCGCAGCTGCCCACGATTCAGCCCTCTGACGCCTGCTCCAGGTTCACTGCATCCTGCGCGCCGAGGCTGTGCTGCGCTCCGCTACCAGCCCGGCGGCGATAAGCCTTCCCCATCAACCATCCAGGCTGTCTTGGGCTGAAAATTTGCTTTACTCTGTCTTTTTGTGGGTTCTGCTGCTTCAGAATTTGTTTAGAGCCATTTTTTTTATGGATATTTGGAAAGGTTTGGGGGAGAGCTCAAGCAAGTCACTGCTTTCATGCCGCCATCTTGGCTCCGCCCCGCCTCCTGGCTTCTTGAAGACGGCTTAAAACCCGCTCTCTGTAGGAGACCTTTCCTGCAGATATTAATTTCCATTTATGTTGTTCATTCCTCATTATTTACATGTTTTCCCTCATTAGAAAGGAATCTCTTTGAGAACAGGGACTGTTTTGCCTTTCTTTGTGTCCCCCGCACTTGGCACGGTGCCTGAAGAGTCGACAAGTAAGCAAGCTTTTACTAAGCCCTTACTACGTGTCTGGCACTGGGAATCTGAAGAGGCAAAAACAGCCCCTACTTTCAAGGAGCTCACAGTCTAATGGGGGAGATGACATGCAAACAACTCGGTGCATACAAGATACATACAGGCAAAATTGAAGCTACTCAGAGGGAAGCAGTAAGGGGAACTGAGGAAAAACTCGCAGAAGGTGGGATTTAGCTGAGCCTTTGAGGAAGCCAGGAGGTGGGAGATGGGGAAGGGACAGCCTTCTAGGCACGAGGGACAGCCAGAGTGAGAAGATAGAGTGTCTCGGAGAGCATCAAGAACAGAGTCACCAGACTGCTGAATCCGTGGAGGAGGGGGAATAAAGCTTAAGACTGGAAAGGTAGGAATGGGCCAGGTTGTAAAGGACTTTACAAGCCCAGAGGATTTTGTATTTGGTCCTAGAGGTGATAGGGAGTTCATTGAAGGGCTGGGGGTGACATGGTCGCACCTGTGCTTTAGGAAAATCAGTTTGGCAGCTAAGTGGACAAAGGATGGAGTGGGGAGACACTTCTGGAAAGCAGGGAGGCCAACCCTAGTAGAATACTGGGATGGTCCAGGTGTGCAGTAATAGGGTTTGCAATGTCAGAGGAGAAAAGGGGGGGGTGTATATGTGTATATGTATGTGTGAGTATACATATATATGTAGGAGCTGAAGGTAAAATTTATAGGGTTTGGCAATGAATTGGATATGGCAGGGGAGGGGAGGAATTGGAGAATAAATTGAAGATTCTACAGAGGTTGTGAGTCTTCGGTAACTGGGAACATGATAGTGCCCTCAACAGTAATAGGGAAGCTAATTTGTTGACTGACTAATCCCTAGGGCTAACGGGTTAGGCTGACGCATCAGTAATGCCAAGATGGGATGGTGAAGGATGGAGCAGCTACCCCAATGTAATATAGGGGTAAATCATGGAAGGCTTCCCAAAAGTATTTGAGTGATGACCAGGGAAATCTGCAAGAGAGAAACCAGGCTCCATTGAATACATGAGGGACTATTGAGGGAGAGAGCTATACAAAGGCTTCTTCAGGGTTATTGATTCTTCTGGGGCTGATAACAGGCTCAAGTTGAATTTCTCCTTTTTCTGGCCCCCAGCAACGGGTCTGTGTTTGTCCAGAGTGAGGTGGAAGTAGAGGGAGACCCACCCCCCACAAGCTCAGACCTCATTCGTTGCATTGTCACCATGGTGCATCAAAAGATGGATATGTACTTCTCGTGGAAGGTGGACCTCTCATCTCTATACTCCAGTGGTAAGGATGGTTGGCCCTTAACCTACTTAACCCTCTCAAAGGTTGGTACTTTGGGGCCAGGGAAGGAATGATCCCTTTGAAAAAGCATCCTGTGGCACATTGTTTCCAAAGTACTTCCCCATCAGCTCTCATTTCACCTTCTAACTAGTCTGAAAATATCAGGGGGGAGGTGGGAGGTTCCCCACCTCCTAGAGAAAAAGAGCCATCTTTGCCAAAAGTGGCAGGGACGTGAATTCTAATCTAAACCTCCAGCATTTTCTCCACTAGAATAAGCAGTCTTCGAAGAGAACCTGGCCCAGCATCCTACAATCCTTCCTAATTTCTGATGCCACTGCTTCTCTCCTCTTACCATACATTTACAAGCTCCCTCCTTGCCTCGATGTCTCCAAAGGTTATAGGATAGAAAACTTAGAACCAGAGAAACTGCCCATTGCTTTTATGGTCCCAAGGCTTGGTCCCCTGTCCGACGAGGATCTCAGGCGCCTTCTAGAAAACCTGAGGGAACAGGTGAGCTGCCTTCCTCTTGACTTATAATTTCAGGGCTGGGGAATAGGCAGAAGCCAAGCACCGTTGCCTAGGAAGCTAGCCTATGGAAGGAGACTGGGGAGAAGGGGATATGTGAGCCTGAGAATGTTTCCAGGCAACCAGTGCATGATACTATCCTTGCAACCTTTAAGACCCAACTAAAATCCTGACTTCTGCAGAAAGCCTTCCCCATCCCCCTCTTAATATCAGAGCCTTCCCTCTGTTCTTTCCTATTTATCCTGTATCGAGTTTGCTTTGTATAGATTTGTTTGCATGGTTGGATTGTGAGCTCCTTGAGGGAGGGCACGGACTGTCTTCTGCCTCTTTTTGTATCCCCAGAGCTTAGCAAGTGCCCGATGCACAGTAGGCATTTTATTTACTGATTGATATAATGCCAAGCTTTTAAAAATGCCCCTACATTCCATCTTCTACAACCAGTGGTCTTGTTCCTACAATGTGATGTTTTATAAGGTGTCAAACACCAGAGGCAGATTTGAGAGCAGAACCAATGTGAGAGGTAGTATAGTGTAGTAGGAAAAATTGGGAGAAATCTGGGTTCAAATCCTGCTTTTACCATTAGATATGGGACCACAGGGCAAATCCTTTAACCTCTTGGCACCTTTTTCCCTTCTCTACAAAATGAGGACCCACCTCAGCATCTTGGACTCAAATGAGAATGGCTCTGCATCTGCTGTTTCTGTCTCCACATTCATTAGGTGGGCAGACAGAGTCCAGCCTAGCTTCCCAATGGCCCTAGGGAGCATTGAAACATAGTCTTTGAGCTGGGATGGAGCTTAAAGCTGATCAAGGTCAACTCCTACATTTTTACAAATAAAGAAACTGAGGTCCAGAGGCTAACTTAACTGAACTTCAGTAACTTTGTCCCTCTGGCTCCAAATCCAGGTTCTTTCCACTGTCCTCCCCACCCTCCTCCCATGACTATGGCCTTTGTTATCTTTGGCAGGTGATCTGGGATTTGGGAAAGCTGTATCCCATGGTGAGATTCTCTTTCCTCGATGTCAGGTAAGGGTTAACTTTACTCCCATAGCACTGGACTGCACAAAGTTACATCTTTCTAACAACTCTCCAGGTAAAGTAGTAAAAGATAATAATAAAATCCCCATTTGACAGATGAAAAAGCTGAGGTTCTGAAGTTAAGTGACGTGCCCAGAGGCGCAGGACCAGACCTCGGCATCCAGCTTCTACCTCCTACTGGGCCCCTGAGCCTTCTCAGGCCCATTGCAGACAGGACCCAGTAATGAAACGTCACACAAAAGCTTGGGTCTTTCCTTTCCTGATCCCCAGAGGAAAGACTTGGAAAGGATAGAGTATGTGGCCTTTGGCCTCTCTGGTAAATGAGAGACTTGAACTAAACTGACCTCTTACGATGAAAAGAAGTGTGGCGCAGTGATTAGACTCCTGGACTGGAATCAGAAAGACCAGGCTTTGAATGCTGCCCTTGACACACTGGGGCTTGTACGTTGGCCAACTTGCTCAGCTTCTCAGTGTCCAGCCTCTCCTGCCCCTGGTCACCTTAAGACCACAGAATACGGTAGGACCTGCTCTGCACTGCTATCAAGAGTTCCTTCGCTGGTGAGATCGCACGTCCAGTCAAACAAGCAGAATGAGGCATTCCATTGCCAACTAAGGAGTATTAGCTAGAATAGGTAGTGACCATGGTTTGAGGATGCCCTGCGCCCTACAAAGCTCGGTCCAAAGAGCACCCCAGCAAGGAGACTACACATGAACCCAGAACTAGATAAAAGTTCAAGGGTTTTTGGAGGAAAGGTTTTATTGAAGGCATGCTGTGTCTAAAGCATTATACTGACCCTGGAAGGAGATGGCCAGTCCCTAAATAAGCACGTCTGCCCTCAGTCTGTTTGGGGCCAGACCACATGCCCTGGACTAAAGCCAAGGATAGGCATTTGTATGGCCCTTTACAAAGCACCACTTCCTCTATTCTCCATGACGGTCTTTTTATGAATGCTTCTGTGTTTGTCATGTCCCTTTCTGAATACATTACTGCCATCTCTTGGGACAGTAACTGAAAGAGAATTAGGGGAAAACAGTTAAGCAAAACTAATACCTGGAGTGTCCCACCTCTAATATTCTGTCTACTTTCTTCCTCGTACAAGTTACTCTCACTTAGGTAACTTGTATTTTTTTTCCTAGTTTTTCAGGGGCAGGTAGGTTAGCACAGTGGATAGAGTGCCAGGCCTGGAGTCTGGAAGACTCACCTTCCTGAGTTAAAATCCAGCCTCGGATACTTAGTAAATGTGGGACTCTGGGCAAGTCACTTACCCCTGTTTGCCTCAGTTTCCTCATCTGTAAAATGAGTTGGAGAAGGAAATGGCAAACCACTCCAGTGTCTTTGCTAAGAAAACCTCAAATGGGGTCGTACACATCTGAACAACAACAACAACAACTTTTCTTTCTCCCCTTTCCCATGGCTGAGGGCAGAAGACAGATGGATGGGAGACCTAGTATTTGGGGAGGGGGTAGGGCTGCCAGCTAAGCAAAGCATGTTACAGAACGAGGAAGAGCCATAGCCTCAGAGGTCAGGATGGTGAGGATGAAGCTTGGAGTTGGGGGAAGTGGATTTGAATCCCAGTTTTGGTACTTATCACCTGTGTGACCTTGGGCAAGTAACTTAGACCCTTTGGGCCTCAGCTTATCCACTTGTAAAAATGGAGAGGGAGAACTACAGAGGACCTTCATGGTCCCAGCCACAGTTCTATGATGCTATGTTCCAAGATGTCTTATTTGCCTTTATTTCTGAATTTAAAAATGTTTTCCATGTAAATAGCCTTCTAAAATCCAGTTGGTACTAGTATGTAGATGTATATATGAGGGAAGAGGGCCCTAGTAGGGTAGGGAAAAACACTCTTAGCATTGGCTGGCAGCCAGATAGGTTGGGAGGACAAGACTGATTAGTGGTGAGAGTCCAACCCTGGAAACCAGCCTAGCCAGGCTGCTGAGCCAGGGTTCAAAGGACCAGGGAGGGACTCATTGAGTAATGATGACATATAACTATATGGCAACTCCCCCTTTAAAAAAAAAACTTTCTTTACCCTTCCCCATCCTCAACACTCAGGACAGGGTTACAGTAAGTACCCTGCAGAAAATATGAGCATTCTACATAATTCTGTCCTGGCTTTCTCACACAGACCTCCAACTAGGCAAGAGGAGGTCTATCCCCATTGAAAGCTTAAAGCTCCCAAAGCTAAGCGATTTGGCCAAGTTCACAGAGCTGATGCTAGTTCAGAGGTCCTAAGATTCTGGGTCCAGTATTCCTGCCATGAGACCAACAGATAGAGTAGAAAGAACGCTGACCTCTGCATTGGAGGCCTGGATTTGAATCCCAGCACTGCTTCTACCTAAGTGACTTTGGACAAGTCATTTCAAACCTCTCTGAGCCTCAGTTTCCTCATCTGTAAAATGATAGTGTTGGACTTGACATCTAGGGTCCCTTCCACCTCTGAATGTAGGGTTCTGTTCTACGACCTTCTAGGGGGAAGATGTGAAAGTCTGAGGTAGTGCTACCTCTGTGAAGCAGGAGAAAAGACTAAAGGATGCTTTTCATGCTACCTGGGTGGCAAGATGCCTGGTACTTAGGAAATGGATCAGTCTAAGGATGTTAAGAGCTCCCAGCTGTCACTAGATGTCACCCAAGAGCCAAGGACCAAAGTCAGAGCTTCCCTGACACCCCCTCTCCCTAGAGTGTGGTACCATCCAGGCTTGAGGGAGCAGAGGGCCCATCTGCTCCTAAGTTTTCTATAGTCAATTTGAGTTGGACCTAAAGCAAAATTCTCATTTCTAAATGCCCCCTGTTAAACTGCCTAGATCTTCACCAGGGGAAGAAAAAATCCTGATTAAAGTCTCTAGACCTTTCTCATCACCATGAGTTAGTTTCAAGTTATCCCAGCATCACCTTGAAAGACCCAGAGATTGAGTGTGGAAGGGGGACAGCAGGATGGCTGCTCAAAGAGAGGGAGGGCAGAGTAGACTAAGATTGAAACCTGTAAGATGTCCCCCTTAGACAGCTCCTGTCAGGGAAGAAAGATGCTTTGTCAGTGTCTGCTCTTGAGAGACAGAGAGCTGGTTTTATCCAGGTTTCCCTCCCATACCAACCCTTCCCCTCAGCCCCACCAGCGATTCTTCCATTGAAAACTTAACTTCAGGGGCTAAAGACAACCTTCTGGTTATCTTATTGCCTTCTGCTTACTGAAATCCAGCCTTATTCCGATTTTGCTTTAAAGACAGAGGTTCTAATTCCTCTGTATAGCAAAAAACAAAAAACAAAAAACCTCTTGTACGTGTTGGCTTTTTGTTTGTTTTTAACCAAGACCTAGCCCTATAGGAGAATCCCTAGCAAAACTCTCAGCAAGGGTTTGTTAAGTAAGGCAAAGATCTGCCCCCATGAGTGACCTTGTCCCCTCTTCCCTTAGGGAGAGCCAAGGCAAGCTGTTGGTTGGGGGCGAGGCCTATGTCCACAGCCAGACCTGGGCAGATATCCCCTATGTCTTACAAGCCCTGACTGGTCTGGCCAGCCAGTCAGTGGATCTGAGTTCACTCACTGTGGCAGGTAGGTATCTTTCTTTCCCTTCCTTTCTACTTCCCCACCTCTCTCTTTACAATCTAGAGGAGCCCTGGCCCTAGAGATCCAGGCAATCCCCAGGCATAGCTACAAATGTGTCTCTTTTTTTGTCTTTTTTTATATTGTTTTAATGTGAGGCAATTGGGGTTAAGTGACTTGCCCAGAGTCACACAGCTAGTGAGTGACATGTGTCTGAGGTCACATTTGACCTCGGGTCTTCCTAACTCCAGGGTCAGTGCTCTATCTACTGTGCCACCTAGCTGCCCCCTAAATATATGTCTTTGTCCTGTTCCTTCAGGGTCCCACCTGGATCTGCAGTTCTTGCCCATTTCCTTCCTTGTCACCAACCCGAATTTTGAGAAATCTTTGCTGGAGCCCCCACCCCTTCAGCATCGGGCTCTCTTCGGAGAATTGGCTATTGCGGTGGGTGAGGATTGCCTGGCTTTAGAAGTTGAAGGGGTAGGGCTGGTGTAGGGGGGAGGACTCTAAACTCAACAGATCTAGTCCCCTCCTAGGAATTTGACCCCTCTCTTCGGAAGGGGCAGTCCCTCTTTCTTGGGCTCCCTGCCCAACCCGGATAAACCCAGAGAAGTTTCTACTCTCAGCCGGGACTATAACTTGTGTTTAGGCAAGGCATCCTCAGTCTCCACAGGCATTTAATATAGTGGGCCCTTTAACAAGCCGGAACCTAATGAGATGTCTTGGTGGGGCTAGTGGGAGGGAGGAGGCCAGGTCCAAACCTTAACATTCTTAGTAGGAATCAGTCTAGGGCTGTCTGCCCCAAACTGACCAGGTCCCAGGTAGTATTCCAGAGGCTTAGATTCCTGCTTGTTTGAAGAGATCTTTTGTGTTTGACAAACACCACCACCCCCTTCCTTGAAGAAGGCCTTTCTCTCACTGAGAACAATAAGACCTCATTCATTATATCCTGGGGAAAATGGTACCTTCTCCCCTTTCCCTCATATCCATTCATTGGCAGCATTATGGGAACTTTTGAGGGTACTTGCCAGCCAACCTCTGGGGAGGGTAAGTCTTCTTTCTCTAACCTACCTGTTGTTTTCATGCCGCTTTCCCCTACACTCCCACAGGTGAAACATGCTCTGAGTAGTTACAGTAGCCTACTGCAGGTGACAATACAGGACTGCCTGTGAGTACCCTGTATAGGGGAGCTGCTGGGGTCCAACTGTTAGAGTGGACACTCACACTCACACTCTCTCACTCTCACTCTCTCTGTCTCTCTCAGTCTCTCTCAGTCTCTCTGTCTCTCTCAGTCTCTCTCAGTCTCTCTGTCTCTCTCAGTCTCTCTCACTCTCTCCGTCTCTCTCACTCTCTCCGTCTCTCTCACTCTCTCCGTCTCTCTCACTCTCTCCGTCTCTCTCACTCTCTCCGTCTCTCTCACTCTCTCCGTCTCTCTCACTCTCTCTCTCACTCTCTCTCTCACTCTCTCTCTCACTCTCTCACTCTCTCTCTCTCTCTCCTCTCTCTCTCTCTCTCTCTCTCTCTCTCTCTCTCTCACACACACACACACACACACACACACACACACACACACACACACACACACACACACACACACACACACACACACACTCTCAGCTTTACCAAGGCTTCTTGCATGCCTGAGGTCTGCCTCTGCTGGCAAAGATGCAGCAGAAAGGGGAAGATAAGGCCCCTACCCTTCCAATCTTATTAGGAAGTTGAGACTGATAACTAAATGTCCAATAGGAAAGACAAAGCCCAGATGTCTCTGTATGTACTCTAGGAACAGGGGTGGGAGAACGGAGGAAGAAAGACTCACAGAAAAGGTGAGGCCTCATATAGGGCTAGTCGATCTGGTGAGATTTTGACAGGTATTCCAAAGGGAAGAGCAGTAAGTAGAGATGACAAGCTATTCTAACCCATCTTTGCCTCCAATCCCTTCCAAGGAATGATTCCTTTCTCTGTCTGGGAGAGCTACTATTTCAAGCCCCATGGCCCAAGCCCAAAAACCTCTTGCAGACCCTGATGAAGGCAGTGGGCTCAGATGGTCACCTAGCTGGCTCCCAGTTTCAGGTGGACCCCAGCTCCTTCTTCATTGCAGGTAATTTTTTCGGGGTGTGGTTGGCTCAGGTGTGGGAAGGAGTGGAATCTAAGCCCTAGAAAGGTCTCAGACTGTGGCAGGCTCGAACCTTCCCCGCCAGCCAGGCGTGTGTGATAGAAGGCCTTTCCAGGTTGCTTCTCAGGCCCCAGCCCTCACATTTGGGCTACTTCTCTTCCTACCAGTTTCTCTATCTCCTGCTTTTAGGAGTTAGCCCCTCACTTTTCTCTCAGGTGTCTACTTCTGCTCTGCTGGGCTGAGTTGAATGTCTTGCCTAAAGCATTCTTTTTTCAGGACTCAGGCCTTATTGCCCCTCCCCTGACTGGCTGGTCAGCCTTTCACTTCAGCTGCTTTCCAGCTCTCCCCTTTCCTTGGTCCTTTCTAGCTTGCACATTTCTGTCTCTCCAATCCTTTTTTTTTTTTGATGAAGCAATCAGGGTTAAGTGATTTGCCCAGGGTCACACAGCTAGTAAGTGTCAAATGTGTGAGGCTAGATTTGAACTCAGATCCTCCTGACTCCAAGGCTGAAGCTCTATCCACTGTACCACCTAGCTGCCCCTCTCCAGTCCATTCTTAATAATTATCCCTTACATCCTTCACAATTAAACCTCATAGGTTGGTTTATTCAACTTCCCCATCCTTCATCTCATTGGGTTTCATAGCACCCTCAAGGTAGACCCTAAGGGTTCATTCACTCAAGTCTTTAAGTCCCTCCCATGTGAAGGGACATCTACCATTTTAAAGGAGAAAACTGAGGCTAGAGAGTAAAAGCCAAGATTCAAACCCAGGGCTTCTATCAAGTTGGCATGATGGTAAGGGCATGGGACAAGGAAAAGACCAAGGTTCTAGATCTGGCTCTGCCATGAACACAATCTGAGACCTTTGCTGTTTCAGCTTTAGTTCTTCATTTTGTGACACAGGGACATTACCTTCCTTACCTCTTCACAAGGCAGTAGGAATTCCAAGGTCAGAGCCATAAATAGGTTTTGTCCCAAGTACAATGTTTGTGGGGAAGAAATGTTGCTGCTTTTCTGCAGTTGTCCAGAGACCACCCATATCTCCTCTGTCTTCTATTAGCCTATACTGCCTTGGGGTTGGGAGCAGGGGGAAGGTGGCCCTGGGAGAAGAAACAAAAATAGGGTTGTTACCAGTGGAGGCTGGAAAGAAGGGCAGGGTATCTTTTCCTTCCACAGTAATACCTACGGTTGGGTTGCCCTTCCTAGGGCAACTCTTTACTCTCCTCTCACTTCTTCAAAATCCCTTTCTCCTGCTACTTCTTTCCATATTCTAGTTGTTAACCAACTCAGCCCTGGCCCTCCCAGTCCTTATGTTCCTCTGCTCTCCCTTTTTACTAATCCATCTGTAATTTTTCTCTAATAAACTTCCTCAACCTAGCTCTCTTCCTTTCACATTACTCTTGACTTCTGGTGCTCCCTGAAAACTAGCTTTCTCTTGAAGATGTTATCTCCTGCTACCATCTCTAAGGCTGGCTGTTCTATCAATCTTTCTCCTCCCTCCCCCTCACATCATCTGAAACTCGGGGCCAGAAGCAAGATTTCACATATTCCACATCCCCCACCCCCACTGCCAAATTTCAGATCTTCCGCCATCATCACTCAGCAACCATTTCTGTTCCTTTCAAGTCCACACAATCCTGTCTAGGTCACTTGGGAAATTCCTGGTCATTATTTTTCTACCTCAGTCTTCTCTATCCCAGTCCCAAACCCCTTTAAACAAGCTGGCCTTGAGGTTTCCCCAGCTCCCTTGACTCACAATGGACAGAAGTACCCCTCATCCCTTTCCCAGCTCAGCTGCATTAGATTGTGAGCTCCTTGAGGGTAGGAGCTGTCTTCTCCCCTTCCTTTGTATGCCCAGCACTTAGTACAGTGCTGAAACACAAGAAATACTTCTGGACTGAGAATGACTAACTGAACTTGTCCAAGGTGCTGGAATGATGGGTTGACCAAGGGCAGAGCCAGAATTAGCAAGTCAGAGAAAGACCCTAGGTCTCCTCAGTAGGTCTCCTGACCTCGGATTCTACAGATCCCACAATTCCACAGTCCCCTCAGGCCATCTTGACACTTCCACAAAACATTTGAAATAGCTTCCTTCTCCCTGAACTTCAAGCTGTCACACTGTCCCATCCCTCCCTCCATTGCAGGAGCCTGAAAGAAGGCTTGGCTTAGCCACAAAAGAAAGGTCTCAATGGTGGTATTTAGGCACCATAGCACATTAATAGAGGAAAGGATTTCCCAGCAACTTTCCCATCACACTGTACAAAGTGGCCTGTGCATAAAGGGAAGGGACAGGGGAGCTTCTGTGGGAAGTCTAGGTTCTTGGAGGTTCCCGAGGATGGGAGGGCATCTTGTTTTGGGGACAAATCTCCCCAGAACTTAGCAGTTAGGTGGCACAATAGAGTGTTGGATTTGGAGTCAGAAAGATCTGAGTTCAAATCCTTGCCCAAGCACTTACTAGCTGTGTAACTCTAAGAAAGTTACTTAACCTCTCAGCCTCAGTTTCCTCTTCTGTAAATGGTATAATAATAGCATCTACTTCATGGGTTGTATTGAGGAACAAGTGAGATAATGTATGTAAAGCATTTTGTAAAATGTAAAGCCCTAGAGAAATGTTATTATAATCATCATCATCTCCCTTCCCCAAAGCAAGGATTGAAGGGGCCAAAGAATGGCTAGGTTACAGTGTGGGGCATGGGCTGTGTTCCAGAAGAAAACCTGGAGTTTTCCCCTGGATCCAAAACTATGTCCAGCATTTCTGTGACCATCATCTTGCTGTCCCTCCTGAGTGTCTTCACAGGTTTCTTCTTGATATTCCAGGTAAGGGGGTAGGGGTGGGGAGAATCCCCCTCGAATTCAGGAAGAGTTCATTCCCTGGGACCTAGGGAGAGTCCCTTCTCCTTTCTGGCTGGGAGTTTTCTCATCCTATAAAATGAAAGGAGGGATGGCCTGTCTTTAGGAGATATAATGGCCCTCTTATCATTGGAGATAGTCAAGTGGAGGCTAAGTGGCCATACTAGAAAATGGATTCTTCTTTGGGAATGTGTTGGACTAGATAACCTCTGATAGGCCTGGGGAAGGATTCTGAGGTCCTTCCCAACTCTGATTCTAGATTAGCTCAAAAGCCACTTCCAGCTGACCAGGAGGGTCAGCTGCCTAGCTGCACAAAGGACACCAGAAATACACCCCTTACAATCCTTCTCTTTAAATGTCCACAGTCCCAATAACTCGTGAAACTGAGAGTAGGATCCTGCAGAGGTAGGGGAGCAAATAGATGGAGAACTTGGAATTCTCCAGATTTCTGAACCAGAAGTCCATCTGCCTCTAGGAACCACACTGTCTGTGGTTGGTCAGATCCCCCCAGCCTATCTCTAGCCTCTCTCCCTTTCTGCAGTGTGTAAGGTGTAGGCCGTTCCATCGGTGTAGGCTGTTCCATCATCAGCAACGAGGCACACTCTCACTTCCTGGAGCCTACCAGATGCATGGCGAGATGTTTGAGATGGAGAGCCCGCATGAGTACTCTGGCCAACAGGAAGGGAGTCCAATTTTAGGGATGGATAACCAGGGCTTCCAAGGCACATTGGAAGAGGTGAGTCTCAGCCTGGTGGAGCCAGTTGCTAACTACCTCCCATAGGAGGCTCCAGATGTGCTCAGTGTTTCAGCCACATCAAATATCCTTGGCAGAAACTGGTTTGGGCAGCCATTGCGCATGGAAGTGGAGGGAAAAGATATGCGGGATGATGGAAAAACCTTCAGACTGGGAGTTTGACCTGGGTTCTAGTCCAACTTTGCCACTCATTGGTTGTCATCTTTGGACAAGTCACGTTTGATCTCTGGGCCTTTACTTTCCCCATCTGTAAAAATAGGGCATTGGACTAGATAACTCCTAAAGTCTCTCCTAGCTCATGTCTTCTGAAATGGAGCAGTGGGGAAGAGGGAATAAAGCATCTGTCCAGTCCTGCCCATACCCTACAGGGAAGGGCATCCCTCTTCTGTAGATCTTATGGTCATTACAGAAATAAACATGTACTAGGTAAATATCTGGGGCACCAAAAAGGAAGAACCTTTCTTTTCTACCCCCACCTCCAAACCCTGCCTCCATCAGTCTTTGTCTTCTTTCTGCCCCCTTGAGTCTACCTGGTTGAAGACTCTGGTCTACTCCCTTCAATGATGCAACCTTCCCTCCTGATCTCACTTCCCTCCTATATCCTCAGGACTCTGGAAGCAGCAGCTAAGAGAATCTCTTTCTTGTACCAGAACCTCTGAAGTAATGAGCAGCCTGGCCCAGATCTTGTCCTGCCTGGACCAAGGAGAAGAGTTGAGAGTCCTACAGTCTTGGGCCAGGACACAGTTTCTTATTTATTTTCCCCCCTCCCACTATGCTTCCCCCATCAATCAGCTGTCTCTATTCAGCCCTTAGAGCTGGGTTTGGGCCTGATTTTTCCTTGGACCAGCTGCTGTCCCTATCAGAATATGCTGCTTTGTGCGTGCATTGTTTTTTTTTAAGATTGTTTCATACTTTGGGATTTTTTCTTTCAGAAGGGAGATTATTGTGAATTATGTCTTGTTTGTCTAGATGTTTAAATTAAAAGCAATTTTTTAAAACTCTGAGCCAATGTCTTAATTTCCTCTTTGGTTTATCTTATCCTTTCTCCCATCATTTGGCCCAGGATTCAGGGTCTCCTTATTTGCTACCTCTTTCTTCCAAAGACTTGGGACTCTATTACTGAGCCCCTACTCAGTCTTCTCCGACCTCCTTTCCTGCCCCTGCCCCTCAGCTCATGGCCAACAACTAATTCCCAGTAGGAGTTCTAAAGCTCCTGAGCTCCCGAGGGAGGGGGAGACTGGCCTTGTTACAACCATCATCGTCCCTCTCATGCTCCATTCAACCACTAAGAATGCCAAGAGCATGGGCCTGGAAGTCGGACTGGGCCCCTGGTGACCAGGTCCATCCTCAGACTTCAGTCAAGTATCAGATTTAGAGCTGGAAGGGCCCTGGAGGCTATCTAGAGCCACTCTCTCATTTTAACAACAAAAGAGGAAGCTGAGGCTCAGACGCAAAATGGACCGCCCAAGTTTCACAGGTAGTAAGTGATTGCTGGGATTCAAATGCAACTTCTTGACACTAAATTCAGCATTCTGTCCATTGTACTCTACAGCACTAGTTGTTTCCCGCTTTGTGAAATAAGGAGTTAAGCTAGAATTCTTGGTCCCCCCCCCCCATTTCTCACCCACACCTGTATTCAATCTCCAGACCTCTCCCCCTCTTCCTTTTCTCTGCCTTCCTCTACTGACTAGTGACTCCCTTCTCATCACCCATTTTAGGGTGACCTTCTTCACCTCACTCACATCTGGCTTTTCCTCCTCACCTGCCTCCCTGAATCCACATGAGCACCCTTTCCCTCCCCGTCCCCACCTCCAACTCCCCTAGATATGTCTTCCTTTATTAGAATGTAAGAAGGGAAGAGCTATGTTTGCTCATATGTGTAGCCCTAGGGTTTTAGCACAGTACCTGATACGTGGTAAAACTGTAAGTACTATATCTCTATATCCTAGAATGTAGATAGGGCTGGCCATTTTGCACTATGTGCTAAGGGAAATTCCTCAAAAGGAAGTTAACTACAGTCCTGTCTGCAAGGAATAACTTTATCAGAGGATGTAGGACAGGGAAGCTTTGAGAGGTGGAGGGGGTGGGCCTGGTGGTGAGTAGCCTATATAGCAGCAGGGGGCTGGACACAGCTTCTGCAGGTTTCCCGTGAGTGTGTCACCCTCTGTGTCCCAAGATTCAGGTCAGCAACTTGCCCCATACATAGAACAGTAGGAATGTGGGTGTTGTGGGGGACTGCACCCAGGGAATGAGGCCTAGGGAGTCCAGATGCCTAAGCTTGGCCTTTGAGAACTTTCACAAGGTGACCTGCACCTCCCTTTAACCCCACTCTTATCCCCCAGATGCAACCCTTTGCCCTAGCCAGGGTGGCGGTTCTGTTTCCCCTTGCTCAGAGGGTTTGTTCCCCAGCCCCCACCTGCGGGGAGAGTAACTTCAAACCCTGGGCACCTGCTGATAAGGTGATCCCAGTGTCCCTTTCCCTCTAGTTTTTCTGGGGTAGTTGATGGCTGACACAAATCCAGGGGTGATCTGTGGCAACTGAAGACCACAGACTCTCAAAGGGCAGAGGGATGGGAGGGAGCCGAGCAGGGCAACGCTGAAATGGGCCTGGGGAAGAGATAGGGGCTCTGGTCCCAGGGAGAAGCCCTGTGAGCATAGAAGAAATTTCTGGGCTACTCAGCCACTTAGAATAACATGAAGAGGATTTCCAGTCCCTCCCCTCAAAAAAAGAACCTTCCATGGGGCCTTATCCCCTCATTGGAGTCTTTCCTCTGGGTTACACCATCACCAGAAGACCCTTGCAGAAAAATAGAACCACCACCTGGGAAGGGTGCTACTTAAGCTTTTGGGTATCTCCCCTTGGTTTATGAAAAGAGCTCTCTGTAGCAAAGATCTGAATAGAGGAAGGGTTGGATTTGGGGTGATGAGGGATCAGTCTGAAGCCCTGGATGCTGCCTGGAAAGTTGCCCAGAAGAAATTTGGCCACTCATCACATCTCCAATTCCGTCCCCTCAAGTCCAGGCAAGGTTTTATGGGACCAGGACTGGAAGGGACCAATCCTGATCAGAGAAGGGTGCAAAACTCAAACCTCCCATCACACTTCAGCCTCTAACACTCCCACCCCAATTCCTTTTCCAGTTTAAGGCAATGACTGTGACCCATAGGGACCCCGGGTGACCAGAAGGAGGCACATCTCCATCAGGCTGTCTCAGGGGTCTCTGCTCCTGGCCGTGCATCAGTGTTTGAGGTCACAGGATTGCATCTGTGAGGGTGGGAGGAGAAGCCCAGGTTAGACAAGCTTCCAGTGGTAGAAGGAATATTCCTGGGGGAGGGTCAGGGCTCCCAGGGTTTCTGCTTAGAGGCTACGCTGCCTCTACATACAGCCTTTCTCTACTGTGCCACAGAAATGTCCTCCCTCTGGAAGTTCACGGACTTCTCACACTGGAAGTACCCTCCACCCTGTGTGGCCTCTCCCTCTGATTGGCTGGTTCTTCCCAGAACCTCCATTTTAAGGACAATGCCCTGCAGGGCCCTATCCTAAGCAATCGATCAATAACATTTCAATATGAATTGGTTTATCAGAACCTTTCCAAATAGCCCTCCAGAGGCTGTGGGAAAAGTCAGGCAATCTGGATGGTAGCCCTGCTCTATGACCTTCGGCTAGTCCTTTCACTTCCACCTATAAAAGACGACTAATTATATTTGTATCTCCTTGCACAGAGAAATGCAGTAAGGAAAGTACTTTATGAACCTTAAAGCACCAGAGAAATGAGAATTAACTAGTATTGACAGGTGGGGCTCAGAGAGAGCAGTGGTCTGTGTGAAAGGGCCCCCACACAGGGTCTAATACCTGGTCAGGGGAGGAATCAAGACCTGACAGTCTGTCAATAACATTTATTTAGGCCTACTTTGTTCCAAGCACCACATTAAGTGTGAGAGTGATAAGTGCTTTAGCTAGAAAAGCTAAAGACAGTCCCTGGCCTTGAGAAGCTCCCAGCCTCATGGGGGAGACAACATTAGGTGGGCCAGACTTCATGACTACCCCATTCAGCTGTGGGCTTTTTTTTGCGGGCTTCCCCACCCTCCCAGCTCATCCCAGGCTCTGTGTCTCTAGCAGAAAGCCAGGAGGGGGGATTCCAGGCCTACCGTATACTGGGACGCAGTGACCTGGCGGCCGCAGCCAGGCTTCCAGACACACAGGCCAGCTATTTGGCTGCTCAGGTTTGTCTTAAACGCCTGGAGGTGGGAAGAGATGTGCATGTGTCTGTGAATGACTGAATCCAGTCTCTGTCCTCACCCAAGGGTCCAACGTCACCCCCCCAACCGGGACTGGCCTGCGGCTGGTCTTCTCAATGTTCCCCAGCCCTCCTGCCCAGAGGATCATGAATGTAAAACTGCAAGGGATCTGAGAGGCCTTCAAACCCAACCCTCTCATTTTACAGATGGGGTAGCTGAGGCTCAGAGAGGTTATTTCGATCATCCAAGATCACACAGGTAATAAGTGGGTGAATTGGACCATTCAGAGCTTCTTCCTCTGTCCCAGGATATCATCTCTCCTCTAGCATCTCAAAAGCTTGGGGTGTGGTCATAGGTTCAAATAACCATACAACCCCCTCAGTTCAGGCCAGCGTAGTTATAGGCACGGTGTACCCCAGGTTCCCACCCTCCCAGGAGGGAGAACCACTCACCAGGACAAGAATCAGGGGGAAAACCAAGAGGAACAGGAAGCCCAGGACAGTCATGGCCACAGCATAAGGAGGGAAGGAAGCCTCAGACAGCCCTGAGGGCCCAGAATTTGGCATGTCTAGAACAGAAAGAGAAGAGGCCATAGCAAGGCGGGAGATCCCCCAGTGCCTGGCACAGTACCCCACACATCTGACAAAGGCGTGTTGACTGACTGGTCTAGAGGGCAAATATGGACCTTCCCTTCCCATTCTGGCTCAGGAGAGGAGACACACACAAAGCTAAGACATGAGGCCTAGGAAGAATCAGGTGCCATGTAAAGTATACAAGCAGTAGGAGTTGTCAGAAGAGGGGGAAATCACTGAGGGCTGGGGACATTGTTTGCTGAAGGATGTAGGATTTGAGCTGGGCCTTGAAGGACAGATGAGGTTTGGAAGAGACTGAAACATCACCTCTATTTTCATAGCCTCCTGGCCATTCTCCCTCTTACTAGAATTTCCTCTTTCTGATCTACCCTCTGCACATTTGCCAAATTAATATTCCTAAAATATAGGTTAATAGTGCCACTCACCTGAGAATCTACAGTGGCTCCCTATTGCCTCTGGGAAAAAAATCCAAACTCCATTTCGCCACTTAATGCCTTTTGCAATCTGGCTGCAGCCTACCCTTACAAGCTTATTTCCCCTTCACATTCTCTTATCTACTCTATACAAGCAGATACGTAAGCCTTACTAGCTATTCCCTAAGCCAGGTATTTAATCCCTTGTCTCCACCACCTTACCTCTACCTCTTAGGGCCCAGCTTAGGTGCCACCTCCTACAGGAAGCTTGTCCTGATTCCCCTTTCCACCACCACCATTCCAGAGACATCCCTCCAAAAATGAATCTTGAATTTACTTTTCAGTGTACATGACGTATCATGCCAGTGAAATGGAAGGCCCTGGAAGGAGGCCATGAGGGAACTTCTACTTGGGTAAAAGTTGAATTCAATGACTTCTGTCAATGCTGCAAGTAGACAGGGAACCAGATAGATGGATGGAAGAAACAAAAGTAATCTGACATATGGATAGAGAAGACACACAGAGAGAGCTGGGCAAATGGAGCCAGGAAACAGACTGGGGGAGGAAGTTGAGGGAGAAAAGGCCAGGGCATGTGAAAAGCACTGACCAAAGTCAGGGACAGCCAACTCCAAGTAGAGGCCATCAGCATCCTCAAGGGTTCTCAGCCCCTTGGTCACCCATTCTTGGACATCACTTTCTGAAGGTGCAGCTTTGAAGTAGGTGAGCCTCACTGTGGCTATCACAGGGCTGAACCTGTGGAAAGAAGAGAGTCCAGAATGTGGAGGGGGTGGGGATGCAGAGGGCAAAGCAGGAAAGCTTGGCTCAGACTGTCTGAATCCTCTGATTTAGGAAGTATCCCCTACCCCTAGTGTGTCAATGTGTCCATCCCCCTGACTCTACATGTGTCTCTGTTCTTAGAGAAATCTGACATTCAAAGGCTTGCACCCAAAGGTACTGGGTTGGAGGTAGCCTATGGAGGTAACCCTCTAGCTGCCTGCCCCTTCCGAATCAAGTTACTAGACTCCCAGGTCTTCCTGGTGCTGGTCCTGGGGGAATAAAAAAAGAGTGGAGAAAGGGAAAGGGGGAAGCAGTTCAGACACTCACAGGAATCCTTCCACGATGACTTCTGCAAAATTCTCGGTGGACTTGAGGATGGTGGTAAGCTGGGACACAGGAGGAGGAATTATGGGTCATGGCCTTCACCGGGCCTCTCCTTTTCCCAACCCCCACTCCCCTTCTATTTTTAAAAAACATAGACTCACCCCATGGGTCAGCCTGCCCCTTAGCTCCTGAGACTCCTTGCTCGCCTTGTCCTTCAGCCCCTCAGAAAATGGCCACTTAGGGATCCGAAGCCACAAGTTGTATACAGTCAGTTCCGCCTTCTCTTCTGAACAGTGAAGGGGGGATGGAAAGTCAACCCTAGCAAGGGATGGGGAGGATTTCCTATCCTATCCAAAAACCTCCTTTAGGCACACAGGGTGTATGCCTTGTGAAACTCAGCCCTCTAAGCATAGCGGATAGAGCATGGTGGTACTTGAAATCAAGTGGCCTGGGTTCAGATCCTACCTCAAACATTTACTGGTTTTGTGATCATGGGCAAGTCACTTAACCTCTCAAGGCCTCCATTTCCTCATTATAAAATGGGGATAATAATACTTGTATCACCTACCTCTTGGAGTTGTGAAGAAAGTGGTTTGCAACCTTTCAAGTGCCATAAAAATGAGAATTATGAAGATGTAAGAGGGGAAGTGGGATCCTCATCAATTAATCCTCCTCCCTCAGGCCAGTTGATTTAATCACAAAAAGTAGTGAGCAGGTGACAGAAGGGTTCATTTGTTAAATAAAGTGCAAAATACGGCTAATATGCAAATCTGTTTTGCATGACTGCAAATGTTCAATCTACGTCAAAGTGTTTGCCTTCTTGAAAAGGAGGGAGAGGAGGGAGGAAAGGAGAGGATTTGGAGCTCAAAATTTAAAAAAAAATGAGAGAAAAAATAAATAAATGAAGTGGTAAGATCTGTCTATCACTGTAACCCAGGGGTCAGGAACCTGTGACCTCAAGGCCATATGTAGCCCTCTAGGTCCTTAAGTGCAACCCTTTGACTGAATCCAAACTGGATTCCCCAGCCCTGCTCTGAGCCCTTTGCACGTCAGAAAGTTGTCCCTGATGGAATTAGAGGACAGCTCTCCATTGGCTAGCTGAAGATGGGCTTTACCTCTGTTGCCTTCAGAAAGCTGGCTTGCCTGCTTTGGACACATTTGAAGCAGGAAAGCTTTGTGAGGTGCAAACTCTGGAGCCATGGAAGACAGCTTCCTATGAAGGAAAAACCTTGGAAGAGATCACTCTCTACTTTTTCACTTACATCTTTACCAGAGGTCATGGGGGTTAGGGAAAGAAAGGGATTTGTTTTCTTCCCCTTTCTCCATTGGCCATAGCATCTTGCTCTTTCATACTCTTTTGGTAAGAAAGAACACTGCCACCCAGAATCAGATCCAGAGAGAAAGGAAATAAAGAGAGACTCACTGAAGTAGCTCCAAGGAATGTCACCCTGGCAGCAGAGAGGAGAATCAATTACAGATTCAAGAAAAAAAAGTAACCCAGGCAGCCAGGAGCCAAACTGCAGAGAAGAACAGGCTCAGGGAGCTTAACTGAGTAACCTGCTCTGTAGGATCTATACACAGGGACAAGAAAGGGAAAGGACCTTTGAACTCCATACATGTTCCCTACATGTGTGCTCCATTACCAATATACCTAAGTTTGTACCCAGCCTTTCCACTAATGCTACATGAATTTCCCCAGATTTATAAGGGAAATGTTTCATAGTTACTCTTCTTACCATGATGCCTCAGTAAATGTCTTTGTTTTGAGATAATTATGTCTATTGGCTGACTGTTGGAGAGGAAAACACTGATGGGGGCTCATGAGCTATTGTTTTAAGAGGGAGATGATACAGAATAACTTTGACTGTGAGATGGTAGTCATTCCTTTGGGGAATCCAAGCTAGATGTAGGGGAGGGATAGCTCCTGGAGGGAGGCACTATAATTATCTCCTTGGAGAGAGAAGCAGTGGGCTGAGTTCCTGGATGCATGATCCTTGTGACCAAGCCATCTGACTCAGGAAAGGGTGTCCTGCCCTGGCTCCTCTTATCCACTTAGCTGGACAAGATAACCCTGGTATGTTTGGGGCTTATCATACTTTCTGGAACAATGAGTTCTAAGCCTAGCTTTGCTGAACAAATAACCCTTTCCCTTTCCTTCCTAGTTGCAGTGTTAGAATGGGGGCATTCTTTGCGGAAAGGATAATGCTATACAAATATAAAAGGTTATTGTTATTTTACTAATTTCTACAAACTCAATTTAGACAGACACTGCATGTATAGCAAGAGTTTCTCCCTTAAAGGAGCTGAATTCAATTGACAAGTTTTGCATTCTGTCCTCTGAAGTGGGGCAAGGGTTAATTATACCCATATCCACAGAAGAGGAAAACTGAGGATCAGAGAGCTTAAGTGACTGGCCCCAGTCAAGGACAGAGTGAGAAAGAAACCTCAATTTTCCAACTTTTAGAACCCTAGGCCATACTGCAACTGCACCATCTAATGAAGGTACTCCTCCCCCTTATGCAGAAAGGTAACTGGTAATCAAGAATGGACTCACCGTTGACTGAGATGCTAGATTTCTGGATGTGTGTGTCTCTCACCTCACGGGCAAGACGGTCAGCCAGGCCTTGAAGACCAACAGGGACAGGGACATTGAACTTGTACACAATGCTGACACCCACCCACTGGGCATCATTGCTGGGAGAGCAGAAGGAGAATATTTAAGGATTGGGCAAGTGTGACCAGGGTACAAACGCTGGGAGTTTCAAAGCTAACTGGGCTCATTCCCAGGAGATGGGATGGAGTTTCCAGTGGCTTGCTCCCTTCTATTTCTAATCCCCCTGCCATCCAAGACCAGAGCCAGTTTCCCAGAACAATGTGAAGTCATTTTCTACAACAACATCAACATTGTAAAGGCAAACAACATTGGAAGAATGCTGATCCGTGTAATGACCAACTGGGATTCCACCTTCACATGATGATGCCTGCCCAGGATCATACAGCAAGGAAGTGCAGAGCTGCAACTTGAGCCCAATCCTCTGGTTTCTTTGCTTTTGATCAACTCTACTGCCCTGATCCCTTTGAGTAGGATGATCAGGGAGGTGGAAAGAGCTTTGAACTAGGAAAGCCAGGATACCCAGACTTTGTCTTATTCCAGCTCTGTCATTAACTCACTGTGACCATTGACAAGCCATGTCTTCTCTTGGGCCTCAGTTTCGTCCTCTAGAAAATGAGGAGTTTGGATGAGATCAGTTCTTAACCATTTTGTATCACGAACCCCTTTGACAGTCTGGTGAAGACCTTTTTTAGAACAATATTTTTAAATTTGCAAAATAAAATAGGATTTCAAAGAAAACCAATAATATTGAAATAGAGCTATCAAAAAATTTTTAAACAGGTTCTCAGATCCCAGGTTAAAAACCTATAATAGATCTAGACAGGGTCTTAGAGGCTACATAGTCCAGCACCGTCTTTTTAGAGTTGAGGAAATTAAAGCCAAGAGAAAAGGAAATGACTTGTCCAAGGCCACACAGGTTGTAAATGTAGGGGGATAAGGGAGGTGGTGTGTGATTTCAGGGACAGAATGGCTATCTCAAAATATCCTCTCATCTCTGCTTACTCATGCGGGAAACTCTATCCAGTCTTCCCTTGGCTTAAAGCTTTGACCCATATTCAAATACAAACCTTCTGATAAGAAGAATACTAGGACCTGTTCTCAGACATTAAAACCCAAGTATGAATGAAGGATCTGAGAGCAGGTATTGTTGTGGGGGGAGAGGGTATGGACAAGAGAGAACAAGAGAGGAGGAGGGGCAAGGGATTTTGGAAATCAGGTTAGCAATGAGGTGTCATGTTAGAAACAGCTCAGGCAAAGAACTCTGGACTTGAATCTTAACTCTGATATTTACTACCCTTGAAACTTTGAGTCTGAGTTTTCACATCTGTAAAGTGGTGCTAATAATTTATTGCTTACCCTGGCAAGAGGGTTCCCCAAATCACAGAATTTTCAGAGCTAGAAGGAACTTCAATGACCATGTAGACCAACCCACAGTACACCCAAAAAACAAATCCCCTCTACAAACATAGGCAACAAGTGATCGCTCTCCCTTTACTTGAAGACTTCCAATGGGAAGGAGTCGTCTCCCTCCAGAGGCAGAGGCTGCCGATTTCACTGCTGGACAGCACTAATGACCAGGAAATGCTTTCTTATATCCAGCTGAAATCTGGCTCCAGGTAGAACTGCTTAAACCGCTCTCAGTAAATGTCTCTTGTTTAAAAGATACCACCACCACTCCCAACACACACACACACACACACACACACACACACACACACACACACACACACACACTCCCTCAAGGCAAGATAGTATCCTGTTGAATGAAAAATGGTTGAGATAGTTGCAGTTGGGATAGAAATCCTTGTAGCAATTAGAAAGAGGAGACAGAGAGGTAGAGTAGATCAGGAGGAAAAGGACACTGATCTCAGCATCAGAAAGCTCTAGGTTCAAGTCCTGGCTCTGATACATACTGTGACTAACCAGCAAAAAAAAATTATCTCTCTTGGGCCTCAGTTTCCCTATCTCAAAAGTGGGGATAATAATGCTTATGGTTCCCATCTCGTGGGATTGTTGTGAGGACAGTCTCTAAAGCATTCAGTAAATGAGAGGAATTCTCGGCTGTAAGGGAAGCAGGAGTTGTACCTACCTGAAAAAGAGTAGAGGCTGCTCCTGGAGATGCATCCCATAAAATTCCAACACCACTGGGGTCACCTGCAGAGAATCTCAAGAAGGGTTACCATGGATGGATCAAATCCAGTCAACAGTCCTTTTCCATTTAGTCAGTCAATCAACATTTATTAAGTACCAGCTCCGTGCCAGGTGCTATGCAAAGTGCTAGGGACACAGAAGGAGGCAAAAGATAGTCCCTAGCCTCAAGGAGCTTACAATCTAAGGCACTCCCTCCCTAGATCTCAAACTCTGCCCTGAAGCTCAGGGCTTATGGCAGGACTGCACTCCTTAGTTCAACAAATATCTGCTGCTACCTCAGGACCTGAGTTCAGATCCAGCCTCAGACACTTACTAGCTGTGTGACCCTGGGCAAGTCATTTAACATCTATCTGCCTCAGTTTTTTTTAATCTATAAAATCTGTATTTTTAATCTGTAAAATGGAGATAATGGCACCTACAGCCCTGGGTTGTTGTGAGGATCAAATAAGATCATTTTTGTAAAGCACTTTGCAAATCTTAAAACACTATCTATGCACATGCTGGCTGTTGCAATGATGATGATGATGGTGGTGGTGGTGGTGGTGGTGGTGGTTATATGTCTGTCTTTGAATTGGTTCCCACTCAACAAGGCACAAGGTTATCCCACTGGATTAGGGGTGAGCAGACCTGAGTTCCCTAGCTGGGTATTTTGTTGTCAAAAGATTTTAGAGCCAGAAGGAATCTTAGAGATCACCTGGTCCAACCTTCTCATCGTACAAGTGAAGAAAAAGGAAGTAGTTCAGGAGTGGAACTCAGATTTGTTGACTCCAGATTCCATGCTCTTTCCCCTATACCATGCTGCTCTTGGACACTTCATTTAACCTTTCTGGGCCTCAGTTTCTCCAACTGCTGTGATTACTTCACAGGTGAGCAGTGAGGACCAAATGTAATAATGTTACTTCCTTCCTCAGAGCTCTCCTAGCACCTGTCATTTCCTGGTTTTTATTGGTATCTACTAGGCGCTTCATAAATGTTTATCAGATGGATGGATGGAGTACATGTCTTGTCTTCCCAGCTAAACTATGTGTTTTTTAGGGGCAAGCACTCTGTCATCCTCATCTCTGTTTCTCTGGACCCTCCTTCCAATGCCTTGCAAGAGGACCCCCCCACACACACACACAGTAGAGGGTTAATAAATAAGCACTGATCCACATTGACTATTTTAAAAAGCATTTTGAAGGATTGTAAACTGCTAGACAAATGTGGGGAGTTCTCATTTTTGTCCCCTCTGAGTCTGAGACCCTTTGATTCTGACAGGGCTAGAGAAAAATTAGGCTGAGAAGGGGCAGTCCAACAGAGAGAGATGCAGACTGGGGATGGTGGGTAATGAGGTAGAGTAGCTGTAAGACAAGAAACAAAGAGCTAATCCTCACCCACCACCACCTCACTGGGATTGGGCTTTATGCTCCATCCCTAGGACAGGGTCTTGTATGATTCTTCCTTTCTCTGCCATTCTCCCTCACCCCCACATACCTAGCCCAGGGCTCTAGCCCCACTGACCAAGTACAATACTAATTCTGCAGTGTGGTAAGTTTGCTTCTGGGAACAACGCAGGGGCTTGAGGCAAAACAGACTCACCGGTTCCATAGTCAGTCGTTCCAGGGTGGTGTAGGTGGCAGACCCAGGTATCAGGAGGGAGGACTCAAAGAGTTCCATGGTGGTGAAGGAGACGTGGACAGTTAGCGGGGCCAGGGTGGTTAGTGTGGAAGCTATGAGACAGATTGAAAAGGGGCAGAGAGAGACAGAATAAGAATTCCAAGGCTCCTAACCGACCACAGGAAGGACCCCAGGATTCCTAAGACAAACAAGGCCACAGGGAAGGTGAATAGAAGCTTCCTCTGTCTCAATTGCCTTCAGCCTTGCACCTCTTTACTTAGATCCATATTAACTTGGTCCTGTTTTTCTTTCTCCTCATACTTCTCTTCCAGGAATCCTTCCCAGATTAATCCAGACCACCACCTAATCTGCCAATACTATCTCTGAGCCCCCCTCTTTTGACAGTACCTTTTAGAATTTTGCAATGACCTATATCAGATGAATCCAAGTTTTCCTTGTCCTGTTTGCAGTTATACTATTTGGCCAATGGTTCATTATGCTATGTACTTCCTCACCCTGGAGTCTCCCCATTCCTTAGCACTGGGAATACAGTGCCAGGATACAGGCCCTGCAGTCCCCACAATCACTTATTGTTTTGCAGTCTTTACTATATATAATATACATGGTATGTTATGTGTAGTATAGGTATACACGGAATAGCTTCAGTCTAAACTTGGGCATGGTCTTACCCATTCAGGAGAGTCTATAAGTCTGAAAGGGGACAAGGTCAGTCTACAAACTCCTTGAGGAGACAGAGAAGAGGGATCCAAGCTCGTTACTCCAATCCCAGAGGGGCCCTTTGGAGATGGAAGGAAGTCATTTGAGGACCAATTTCAAATTGTCTAGTTTTCCCCAGCTGGAGTCACCATATGGCACTCATTCTCCAAATCAGGGGAATTACTAGAATACAAAAATTTTGGAAAACTCCTTAGAAAACTGTTCCCTAATGGGTCAACTGAAAAGAGCTAAGAGGATGTCAGGCCTGGAATGGTTCAGTGAAGACAGCATCTGGGAAAATGACCAGGGCTTCCCTTAATGCCCCCATTAGAAGAGGATAGGAGTTTGAAGGAACACAAAGCTGATAGGAGTGAGGGAGAGCCATTGCTGACATTCTTATGAAAATGAGTGTGCCTCTGTCCCCGGAAGTTTTGGAATTTACCTTCAGATTGGATGCTGTTTTCAGCTAAAGAGAGGTTACCCAGCATCATCCCCAGTCCCTTTGCTTCCCGATACAAGACCCAGACAATATCCACGGGAGAAGGGGCTTGAGTAACATTTCCAAATACGAGGGTTGTGTTCACCGCTACTGAGCCCAGCCTGGGGACAAAGTTCAATATATTTATCAATTACTTGGATAAAGGCATAGTCAGCAAGTTTATCCTACCTACCAATGCAACAGGTGGCAGAGTGGATAGAGCACCAGACCTGGATCCAGGAAGACTCATTTTCCTGAGTTCAAATCTGGCCTCAGACACTTACTAGCTGTGTGCCCCTGGGCAAGTCACTTAACTCTATTTGACTTAGTTTCCTCATCTGTAAGATGAGCTGGAAAAGGAAATGGCAAACCACTCCAGTATCTTTGTTAAGAAAACCCCAAATGGGATCACGAAGAGTCAGACATGACTGAAACAACAATAACAAAAAACAGATGCCACAAAGCTAGGAGGGAGAGTTAACGCAATGGAGGAAGGAATCAGAATCCCAAATTATCTATACAGGCTAGAACACTGGATTGAAATCAATGAGATGAAATTGAATAGGGATTTTTTGTTTGTTTATTAACAAGTATTTGTTTTCTTTCCCCCCTACCTCCCCCTACAATGGAAAAAATACCCTCTAGCAAACATGCATAGTCAAGCAAAACAAATTCTCATATTGCTATGTACAAAAATGTGTCTCATTCTGCATATTTAGTAAATCAGGATAAATGTAAAGTCTCACCTTTACATTCATAAAATCAGGTGCACAAATAAAAGATGAGGGCAGCGTGGCTTAATCACAGCTCAGTAAAAAGATCTGAGGGTTTTAGTGGGCCACAAGCTCCAAATCAGTTAACAAAGTGACATAATTGTGTTTTTAATGGCATATAGGATCCCAGGCCAGCAATCTGGTGACCCCATATTGGGAGGTCAGAGTTTTGCCATACTCTCCTCTGGTCAGACGATATCTGCTCCATCCTGGGCACTACATTTTAAGAACCCTGACAAGTTGGAGCATATCCAGAGAACTATTATCAGGGTGGTGAGGAGTCTGGAAACCATGTCATATAAAGAATAATTGAGGAAACTGGGGATGTTTAGGATGATGAAGTGAATTAAAGGTGTATGTGGGAGGTGGGGGAATTATGACTGTTTTCAGTGAGGGACTGAATTTATTCTATGTGGCTCTAGAAGGCAGAAGTAAAACTGATGGCTGGAAATTGAAGGGAAGCAGATTTCAGATTAACACAAAAAATAAATTTCTAACAATAACTGTTCAATAGTGGGACAGATCGTTATGTATGGTAATGATCTTCTCATCACTGGGGGGGATTAAGCAGAAGCTGGATGGGCTCCAGGGTCAGATACTGTAGTAGGTGGTGATTAGATGTAGATTAGATGACCCATGAGGTACCTTCTACTCAGATATTATGGTTTTGTGATTCTAGGATCATGACTCACATTCTTGACCCTCCAAGGAAACACCTATTATCTCTCTTCTCCAACAGGGGCTGAGTTATGGGATGTGCCAGAAGAGATATGGTTTTGTGATCATTGTTACTGTTCAGTTGTTTCAGTCATGTCTGACTTTTTATGACCCTATTTGGGGTTTTCTTGACAAAGATACTGGAATGGTTTGCCATTTCCTTCTGCAGGTTATTTTATAGGTGAGGAAACTGAGGCAAACAGAGTTAAGTGACTTGCCCAGGGTCACACAGGTAGTAACTGTCTGAGGCTAAATTTGAACTCAGGAAGATGAGTCCTTCCTGACTCCAGGCCCAGCACTCTATCCACTGTAACACTCCTCCCTGAGCACTCCAGCCTGCGCTGTCTCTGTCCTCTCACCTCTTTCAGCCCTAGAGTATCATCCAGCATTTAATTTCATTGGTTTCTCATTGTTTTGTGTATATGTCTTATACCCTATTCAGACTGGTTGGTCTCAGAGTGTAGACACTGGGTCTCCTCCTCTTGTCTTTTCTCCAGGGTTTAGATCAGGCACATGGTCAGGATGGGGACAGGTGGGATTCAGTAAAGACTTCTCCACTCGGAGGATGGGTCGCTTTGGTGCTGTCCCAGGTGCTGAGCTGAGTGAATATAGACATAGTCCCTACCTTTTGGGGATTTACTAATCTGATTTAAATGAATACATTCTTTTCTCAGTTCCTTCTTATCTCTTACTGCAAGGGGTCCTAAACTGGTGGAGCAAAGAATCCTAGTGACTCTCTCTCCCTCTCTCTCTCTCTCTCTCTCTCTCTCTCTCTCTCTCTCTCTCTCTCTGTCTCTTTCACACACACACACACACACACACACACACACACACACAGAGAGAGAGAGAGAGAGAGAGAGAGAGAGAGAGAGAGAGAGAACTATAAAATTCTGCAGGGTTAGAACTAGACAAGATCTTAGAGGTCTTCTAGTCTGGAAGATGCATGGCTAGCTTTCAAAGAGTCTATGAACTTGGATGGAGAAATTTCATCTTTATTCCAATATAATTGGTTTTCTTTGTAATTCTATATGTTTTAATTTATGTATTTAAAAACATTATTCTGGGCAGGGTTCCATAGACTTCACCAGATTGCCAAAGGAGCCCATCTCATGCATGTGTGCACACACGTGCATACACACACATGAAGAGCCCCTGGTCTAGTTCAGCCCCTTCATTTTACAGAGGAAGAAAATGAAACCCAAAGGAAGGGAGTGACTTGCCCAACATCACACAGTCTCTGGTAGAACCAGGACTCAAAACCACATCTCTTGACTCTCTATCCAGGGCTTTATTTCACCACAACAAGCTGCTTCTGCTGGGTATGCAATGGAAGGCTGGTGAGGAGATAAGGAGGGGACAGAGAGGTAGAGGAATAATTCTGGGCTGGGAGATATTTTGTAAAATAATCTCCCCTGGTCTGTGGCTAAGGACAAAGATAATTCCTACTCCAAAACTACACCTGATGACAACTACATAAAGAAGGAAGAGGGTTGAGTCTAGTCCTGTTCCATGAAGTCTTCTTTTATATCCCCAGTTGGAAGTGAGCTCTTCCTCTTCTGACATCATAGCACCTTTTATTTCTTTTATGCATTGATCATTCTTAGTTACAATACAGGATATTCCAGAAGTGTTTGTGAGGTTTTAAGCTTTGCATTAAGACTTTTGGAACTCCCTGCATCATAAATTAGAATGATTATTGCATAAAAGAAATACTAGGTACTCTGAAGTCAGAAGATATTAAAGCTTAAAACAACACTGACTTTGGAACTTCCTGCATAATTGTGTTCATTGCCTTTATTTTTGACATTTGACATATTTAAGACATCATTGTCTAATTTTTCTTACTAAATTGAACTCTTTGAGGGCAGGAATATCATTTTAATTATCTTTGTGAACAGTGGACAGAATTTTCTCTATATGCATAGTATGAATGAATGAAAAAGCCTTTATTAAACCACTTACCACATGCCCTACACTGTGCTAGATACTGGGGGTAGACATTCAAAGACAAAGATAGCCCCTGTCCTCAAGGACCTTACATTCTAATGGAAAAAACAACACATATGGGGAATAGTGGCCATATAGGTGTTTTGGTCTATGAAGTCATAGGGATGGTAAACTGAGTCAGAGGGAAATAAATTTGTAGTAGATATTTAATCATTTTTTTTAATGATTGAAGAGTGGAGTGGGGGCAAGAAAAGAGAAGGGACACGGTCAAGGGCAATGATTGCTTACCTAAAGCCACCAACCTCCACTCGATCAAAGCTGGAGAAAGCTCTTCGATAGATAGGAGTCAGCTGGAGGGGACAAACAAAAACAACCTGATTTGATGGGTGTCCTCCCAGATAGAGGCTCCTGTGAGCAGTCACTATGCCTACCAAATGAGGAGAATTATCACTGGCGTTTATGTAGTGTTACCCGTCTAATTGTCTCATTCGGTCCTCATAACAGTGCAAAGTAAGTCATATATGCATGGTTATCTCCATTTTGTAGATGAAGAAACTGAGCCACAGCAAGGTGAAGTGACTGGCCCAAGGTCCCACAGTGAGTTTGTGGTAGGATTGGGACCAGAATCCAGGTGTCCTGACTCCAAGGCTTATCTTCATTCAATGGCTTCACTGTGCTCCCATAAAATCTGCGTTAAAAACAACCTAGCTACACCACACACACACACACACACACACACACACACACATACATGCACACATACACACAATGCACACATACACAGACAGACACGCACACACTCCAACTCCAAACTACCCTTTTACCTCAAACAGACAGATCTTTAAAGCCTCCTGACTCATGTGTATACATTTGTTATTGTTCATTTTTGTCTGAACTTGCGACTTCATAAATGTAGGTAACTCCTGGTATGCAGCTGCCCTCCACCAAGGTAGATCAACAACTCCTCGGTAACTCATTAGAGATTTCTTTGGGAGCACTGTGAGGACAAGTGACTTGCCCATGGCCACAGTGTGTAAGAGATAGGATTTGAACCCAGGGCACCCTGACTCAAAGTCCTGTCTCTATCCTCTCTATTATACTCCCTATCTTTTCTGTCTCTGTCCTGACATCTCTCACAGTGTAGTCTAGGTAGAGTTGGACTGGAATTGAAGCCTTTGCCACACACATCCTATTATAGCTCTGTGGTGTGGATAAAGCCCTTAGCCCTTCAGTGTCCCAGATGAATTTCTAACCCTGAGTCACAGAGGAGCTGTTGGTAGTTGAGAGGAGTTTACATAATTCATCGTTAGATAAACCTCTAAGACAATAAATTTTAGGTGGATGGCAAACTGGGTCTACGTTGTTGGAGATAATTAATTTCCTTGACTTACATTTACATAATAGATGAGGATGATTTTGGTAATGGCTTCAATTCTCTCTACATTTAGGGGGCATGTGTAAACACCACCCTCAACTAGGTCTAGAGTGGAAAAATCCCAGCACCACAGTGAACAAAAGAAGCTTAAAATAGAATTTTCTTCCCTGCCCTTAGTATCTAGGTCAGAGTCCATGGGCCACATGCTCCCCAGAACACCCTCAAGAATGGGCTGAACTAGATTCAAATGTAATTGGGAAATTATAACAAAATAAATAAAAATACAATAAAACACAGACAATATTAATATGTGGTTTTCTAAGTCAATGTCAGGCCTGCAGGGACCCTGATGTACAGGTTAGTAGTCCCCATTTCTATCGGAGTTTGACTCCACTGTGTTAGAAGACTTTAAAGTTCTTTGTTAAGGTTGCTTAAGCTTTTTTATCAGTGGGTTATAAATAGGTAACTGAAGGCAATTGTCTAGGATTGTATAGTTCTGAATAATTACTTTGATAGTTGGAGAGATCTACAATTTTGCCTCAGTTTTCTCATCTGTCAAATGGGAGAATAGTACTGCCTACCTGTCTGACTCTCAGGATCATTCAGAGATAAAAATCAGTTAATGGATATGACTACACTTTCACCATGGAAAGCTTAAAGATACAGATACAATTTCACACTATTTTAATAGCACTTCATTGGAAGATCTCATCAATATACAGAGAAGAACATTCTCCTGATTGGTGCAAGTTCCAGAAGAGTTTCTGCCTAGACACTCCCCTCCCTTTATGAAGATCATCAAGTGTAAGAGCCACATCCTCCACTTCATTGGTCCCCTTCCACAGTGCTGGATGTCAGATAGTGAGGATGCTATGAATTTAAACAGCAAATGGGCAGTAGATGCCCACCTGAAGCTGTAGGGTATGGGCAACTACCAGCTGCTAAAAAATCATTAAAGACTTGGAGCTGGAAGAGGTCTTAGAGGTCACCTATCCATCCCACTCATTTTATGGGTGAAAAAATTGGGTCCCAGAGAGGTTGTGATCTGCTCTAGGTCATACAGGAAGTGAGCGGCAGAACGAGGGTTAGAACCAAGGCTGTCTGACTCCAAACCCCTAGAGATGATGATGGTTTCCTGAAATTCACTCCTCAACGACTAATAAATTTCCACCACATCATACCCATCCCATCACTATGATTGTGAATCCCCAGCCACTGTCGTTTGAAGATAATTCTCTGTCCCTCACTGATCACTCCCTTATTCCTCTCCCCCTCAATCTATCCAACCCCCAAGCTACCACCCTAAAGTTACCTGTCCTGTCTGCTGTGCCCTCTGGAATGCCTGTTCCATAGGCAACATACTTGCTTTCATCTTAAACATTTTCCTTTCTGACTTCTATCTTGTTACACTCACTGAGACCTGGCTCCCTCCCAATGATGCAGCTTCCCTGGTCATCCTTTCCAGTACTCATTGAACTTTCACTCATATCCCTTGACTTACTGGTCAAGGTGGGGGAGTTGGAATACCCCTTGTTCCCCATTGCCAGTTCCAGAATCTCGCTCTACCATCATCACTCAGCAGCCACTCTTCCTTTAAAATTCACTCAATCCTTTATCACCCCAACAAGATTCTGGTATCTCTTCTTTACAGAACTCTGTGACATTCTTCTTCCTTAATGAGTTCAGTGTCTGGCTCACAGTCTTTTTCTCCTCCCCAACTCCTGTAGTCATGCTAGGTGACTTCAAAGTACTTGTTTACACTCTTTCAAATACCCTAACCTCCCAGTCCACAGATGATTATGCCCTTGATCTTGCTTTCACCCGCAAGTGTTCTACTTCCATGTTTGTGCACTGCAAAATTCCCTTATCTGATCACAATCTGTTGTCATTCCACCTTTCCCTCTGCCTTGCAACATGTAACTCTCTTCTTCATCCTCTCACCATGACTTCCAACCCCTCTATTCCTCAGTTCTTTACCAGGCCATCACCCCTGCACTGGTTACACTCTCCTCTCTTCCTCATTTTGACCCTTTAGTGAACCAGTTGAACTCTACCCTGTTCTGTGCTCTTGAGTATCTTAACCCCTTATCCTAGCAAAGATCTCTCTCTATCAAGCTTCAGCCTTGGATAATTCCCACCATCCACTGTCTTCACTCCTACTCATGTGCTACTTAAAGACACAAGAGAAAATCATGGAACTTCAAGAACTTGACCTTTCGAGAAACCAGTTCAACTCCATACTGCCTTCTTCTCTCAAATGTCTTGGCCCCTTATTCTATCAATGGTCTTACCCTATAAAATTGCCACCCATTCACTTACTGCTTCACTCCTATTCATATGCATACAGATAATCACAGAATTCTGCTAAATGGATTCACTGCAGCAAAGCAATCCTTTCATGCCTCTCTAATCAATCAATTCACACTTCCATTCACTGCAGTGGCTTTTCCAAATCTTTTCATCCCTCTTCAAACTTCTATGGCTTTCTCCACCCTTCCCCTTCTCAGTTGAGAATCTTGCCTTGTATTTCACTGGGAGGGGAGGGAAATTGAGACTATTCACTAAAAGCATTCTCTTTTCCCCTCCTCCTCATTCACATCACTCAGATGTCTTCCACCACTATCTCCTCTTTCAACCCTGTCTCACATTAAAAGTGACCCTTCTCCAGCGACTTGCTCCCTCTATCATTTCCGCTGTCACTAATCTTCAATCTCTCCCTTTCTATTGGTTGCTTCCCCACTGTCTACAAACATGTCTATGTCTCCTTCACTTTCAAAAAACCCTCATTTGATCCATCCATCCCCACTAATTATCATCCTAAATTTCTCCTCTTTTTCATGGCTAACAGCCTTGAGAAAGCTAGCTACAGTTGATGCTTCTACTTCCTTTCCTCTCTCTTTTTTCTTAACTCTCTGAAGTCTGACTTCTAACCTCATCATTCAAATGAAACTACCCTCTCCAAAGTTACCAGTGATCTCATAACTGTCCAAATAGCCTTCTCTCAGTCCTCCTCCTTCTTGACCTCTCTGCATCCTTTGACACCATCAGTCACCCTCTTCTCCTTGATATTCTCTTTTCTCTAGGTCTTTGTGACCCTGATCTCTCTTGGTTCTCCTTCTATCATCTGACCATTCCTTCTCAGTCTCCTTTGCTGGATCTTTGTCCAAAGCTCTTAGTAACCACTTTTTTTTTTTTGGCTAGTCAATGGCATTGACTTGCCCAGGGTCACACAGCTAGTAAGTGTCAAGTGTCTGAGGCCGGATTTGAATTCAGGTCCTCTTGACTCCAGGGCCAGAGCTCTATCCACTGCACCACCTAGCTGCCCCTAGTAACCACTTTTTGAAATGAACAAATAGAGAAATGAATGGGATGAAATGAAAATGGATGAAAATGGCCCATTCAACCCACCTGATTTTGCACATTCTCACTCAGGAGCCTGTATACCAGAGAGGTGGGATCATACAAAGCAACTGTGAAGATTTCATTGGTGATTTTGAAAGTCAAGGATCGAGTCACATGGTTATAACCTGGGGAAGAGGATACTGAGTCCAGTAGTAAAGGGTATTGAGCAGGAGAAGAGGCAGAAGGCATGGAGAGTTCAGTTTCAACAGAGGTGAGGCTCCATGCTGAGTCCATAGACTCAGTTATTGAAGGATGTGACCAAGACAGGTAAGGTGTGATAGTGGGGGTGGCTGTCAAATGAACACTTAGAGTGGTTGAGGATGATGAGACAGATGAAATGCTTGAGAAATTTTCCAGGGAGACTGTAGAGGTGGGAGAAGAGTCCATCACACTGGTTTCATTAGAAATGACTGCCAACCCAGAAGTGTTTGTCCCTGGGGCTAAGGAAGCTGTAGCAGCAGATCCAGATGATGGGAATCTGGTAGGCTCAGATGTGGTCAGCTCTAGTCCTTCTTGATGGGTAGTCTGATGGAAGAATTGTAGGCTAGAGGTGTTGGTTGAAGACTCAATAGATGCAGATGTAGATGTAGGCACAGAGGGGTCCTTAAGAATTCCAGAAGTGGTAGACTGGATTGTATTTAAAATCAGCATTGGTGGTGATCGTAATAGTGATGATGATGATGATGATGATGATGATGATGGTGGTGGCGGTGATGGTGGTGGTGGTGATGGTGAATATAGTGCTGGAGATGGTAGTGGCAATGTTGGTAGTGATGAGAGAGTGGAGGACCCCTTGAGTCAGAGCCCACACTGGAAACAGTGACATCACTCAGTGGGTTTGTGTCCTGTATCAGGGGTAGTAAAGCCCCCCCAGCAGGAGGAGGTTCAGATTCTGCCTGCCCTGAAGGTTCAGGAGTAGGAGCCTCAGACTCTTTAGGATAAAGGGTAACCAGGGCAGGAAGCTCAGGTACCTCTGGTGATGAAAGCTCAGCAGATACTAATGTGATGGAAGCAGGTGTGGAAGCATTTGATTCCAAGATGGCTGTGGAAATGGTATTCCCCAGGTCACTTGGAGCTGGTGTCAGATACAAGGAGGTATTTGCTTCAGCTGCACCAGAACTCAGAGCAGGAGGGTGCCCTACCATCCCTGGCCCTTCCATCAGAGGGGAAACAGATATGGATGCCTGAGTTGGTGTGGGACCTTTGGTCTCAGCAGAAGAGGCAGCTACGATAGTATGTGCAGGTGAGATTCCTTCTGGTTGCCTGGTCAATCCAGATGTGTTAGATTCAGAGGTGGTGGGCTCCCTTTGGGCTATAGACATTTTAGCCCTAGCTCTATATGAATAAAGGCCATGAGGGAATGGTGAAGGGTTCTCGTGTCTTTCAGTCCTGGGGGTCTCATTGGACATCAAACCATCCACTGACTGCCTTGGATCAAGAGATGAGGGTGAAGAAATGACTGTAGGAGATTCAGATATCAACATCTGTTCCACAGGCCCGGAGACAGAGGCAATAGCGACGGATGTGGTCTCAGGCTTGATTGTTGCTTTAGTGACAGCAAATGCCACTGGCCCAGATGGGGCCAATCCAGAGGCAGCTGAACTGGAAGGTCCAGGAGATGTAAAGGAGGCAAGATGTTTTGAGCTAGAGGGCCAGGCCAGAGGCGCAGTTGGAGAAACCTGGCCAGATTCAGAGCTCATACTTGATAAAACCCTCCCAGCAGCTGGTCTTCGGACCCTGGACATTGCTTGTGGTGGATGGATCTCTCTCTACCCACAGCTACCAAGGAGTGGGGTTCCTTCACATTATCCTCTGAGGAAGACTGAGTCGTGCTCAAGAGCACCCAAAGGGGTGACAGGGGATGGATGAGGTTCCTGGATTCACGTGGGTAGTGTCGGGATGAAACCAAAACTGACAAGAAACCTGAGAAAAATGAGCAGTTTTCATTAACCTAATACTTGGGAAGAGACTGGACTGCTGTGTGAAGAGGTGATGATGATAACTCACATTTCTACTGCATTTTACAATAACCCCATGAGGTAGGCAGTACATGTATCTTTATACCCATTCTGCAGATGGGGAAATTATCATCCCAGATTTTCTGAAAAGGGAAGAGACAAGAGTATGCAAACTCTAAGACAGTGAGACTAACTTGTGATAAGATTCAAGAATGGATTATTTTTTAAATATTTTGTTTCCCCCCAATTACGTGTAAAACAATTTTTAACATTTAAAAAAAAAGTTTTAGGTTCCAAATCCTATCTCTTCCTCCTTCCCTCCCCTCCCCCCTCCCTGAGATGGTAAGTGATCTGATATAGGTTATACATGTGCTATCACGCAAAATATTGCTATATTAGTCATTTTGTACGAGAAGACTTGAATAAAAAATGAATGAAAAAAATCAAGTGAAAAATAGTATGTTTCAGTCTGTACTCAAACAATATCAGTTCTTCCTCTGAAGATGGATAGCATGTTTCATCACGAGTCTTTTGGGAATGTCTTGGATCATTGTATTACTGAAAATGGCTAAGACATTCACAATTCTTCATCATACAATATTGCTGTTACTGTGTACAGCATTCTCCTGGTTCTGCTAACTTCACTTTACATCAATTCATGTATGTCTTTCTAGGTTTTTATGAGATCATCCTGGTTGTCATTTCTTACAGCACAGTAGTATTCCATCACAATCATATACCACAACTTGTTCAGCCATTGCCCAATAAATGGGCATCCCCTTGGTTTTCAATTCTTAGCCACTACAAAAAGAGCTGCTGTAAGTTTTGGTTTTTTACAAGGAGGTCATTTTCACTTTTTAAAAGAGTCTCTTTGGGAGAGAGAGACCTAGCAGTGGTATTAATGGGTGATCAAGGGGTAGGCACAGTTTGATAGTCTGTTGGGCATAGTTCCAAATTGCTCTCCAGAATGGAGAGCTCCACTAACACTGCATTAGGGTCCAAGTTTTCCCATATCCCCTCCAACATTTATCATTTTCCTTTTTTGTCATATTAAGCAATCTGTTAGGTATGAGGTGGTACCTCTGAGTTGTTTTCATTTGCATTCTTCTAATCAATGTGATTAGAGCATTTTTTTTCATATAACAATAGATAGTTTTGATTTCTTTGTCTGAAAATTGTCTGTTTATATCCTTTGACCATTTATCAGTTGGGGAATGTGTTATATACCTAATCTGTTCCACTAATCCACCACTCTATTTCTTAGTGTGGGTACCAGACTGGGCTTTGTTGGTTATATATAGAAATGCTGATGACTTACATGGATTTATTTTAGATACTGCAACTTTGCTTAATTCTTTCAACTAGTTTTTTAGTTGATTCTCTGGGATTCTCTAAGTATATCATCATATCATCTGCAAAGAGCGATAACTTTGTTTCTTTATTGCCGATTCTAATTCCTTAAATTTCTTTTTCTTCTTATATTGCTATAGCTAACATTTCTAGTACAAAAGGATGGATTATTAAAGAAAGGTTTGTGATCAGCCAGAAAAGGAAGCAGTGATCACAAAGAACTAGTGAGACTTTGATAAAAATGGGTCATGTCAGACTATCCTTATTTCCTTTCTTTTTGACAAGATTACTAAACTGATAGAAGAGGGAGGTGGCAAGATAGTTTAATTTAATTATGGTCGAACATTTAATAAAATATCTGGGGCTATCATTGTGGAAGAGATGGAAAATGTGCTTTAGATGATCATATAATTAAATGGATTTAGAACTGGTTGAATGACTGGACTCCAAGGTTTGTCATTCATGGCTCCATTATGACTTGGAAGATGGTCTCCAGTGGAGTGCCCTAAGGATCAGTGCCCAGAGTTGTACTGTTTAACATTTTTATCAATGGCTTAGATAGCAGAGATGATATGTTTAGCAAATTTTCAGAGGGTAAAAAGCCTGGAAGAATAGCAAACATGCTGGATGTTAGAATCAAGATCTACAGAGATAATGATGGGCTGCAGAATTGGGCTGAATCTAACAAGATCAAATTATAGGGATAAAAGTAAAGTCTAGCACAAGATCTGGGGAGCAGGGACTCTTAGAAGCAGCCTGCATCTTCCACTAACCATTCAAGCTTAGATCAACTAAGACCGAGCCTCTACAATTCATCACAACTTAGAGGACTAGGACCTAGGAGAAAATAACTCATTTTATGCCATTCTGAAGCCTAGAAGAAGGTAGTCTTGGTGTAGTAAAAAGCATCGGAAGTCAATATAGACCTGCGTTTGAGTCCTGCCTGTTTCCCACTAGCTGTATGGCTTTGGGTAGATTTAACCCTTTGTGCCCCTCAGTTTCCTCATCTTTAAAGTGAAGGGGGTCTTTACCTGCTCTGACATTTTATGATTCTCACTGTGATATGATTACTAACACACAGTAGATTCTTAATCAATGTTTGCTGAGCTGAATTACAAGCTATTTCCATGTAGTGTTAGAGAAAAAGTAGAAGTGTCCTCTCAGTGGTCCCCAAGAAGTCTCTGGTGACTGAGTGAACCCTGTTGTCAACAATCAGATGCAGTAACCAGGCTGTTTGCTCAGGCAAGTCACGAAGATTTGGATTTCAGATTGCTCAGTCAGGAGAACAAGAGAGCAGTACCAGTGGTCTGATAGGATGTGTTTCTTCCAGACAGAAGGTACAACTTTGTGTATAAACTGAATTCCCCTTTGGAGTATAAAAGGGATGAATGCTTGCATGCTCTCTGGCTTATCAGAGAGAATGGAAGAAATATGCTAGGATGCAAATAAAGGGAAGAGCAGCTAGGTGGCGCAGTGGACAGAGCACCAGCCCTGAAGTCAGGAAGACCTGAGTTCAAATCCAGCCTCAAACCAAACACTTGACACTTACTAGCTGTGTGACCTTGGGCAAGTCACTTAACCCCAATTGCCTAAAAAGAAAAAAAGAAAGTAAAGGAGCAAAAGACTGAAGAGACAGAGAGGAATCCAAAGTCACAGTGAATGGTTGAAGGTCTATGCCAGTGAGGAGGTAAGGAAGGAAATCACCTGAAAACATGGGTATGAGGATGTTCTGGATATGGGGTGAGCTGGACCTTCTGAGAAGAAAAAAGCCTCCTGTCCTCTCCAGACAGATAAAGAGGATCCTTGTGGAGATGTCACCAGTATTGAGGACAGCCACCACTGGCCGTGGCAAGAAATGTTCTTCCTGGTGGTTGGAGACTTCCTTGAGGGGACTATGGAAATGTCCATATGTGAACAGCTGGCCTGTTTGCTCTCTTCCAGGATATGACCGAGAGCCTCTTGAGGCCTGTCAAACCTACCAACTATCCTGCTGGCGACTGATATGGGGGTGATTAAATGCCTCCAGAGGGAACCTGGGAAATGGCTCCAGGGATTCAAAGTGCTTGAGAAAAACTGAAAAAAAATGGG